TTTTTATGAGTATGAGTCGTTTCGCGTTCACTGAGGTGTTTAGAGGACGACCTCCTCAACCGATGTAGCTTGCAGCAACCACTGTTGCTGTTTGCTGTGCGGATGCTCGTTTTGGTAACGGGACCAGTGGCGGATCCAAGGGGGGGGGCGGTGGGGCCGATCGCCCCCCCCCAAACGCCTCGCCAGGCAACCCCCCCCCCCCCCCCCCCCCCCCCCCCCCGGGGTTCTTCGTCAGCTCGAAGAAAAAACGTAAGCAATCGACGTGAGAAACAAAAGATAAAAACAGCGGTGGGTGGACGCGCCAGCTGGGAGCTTCCAAAGTGGGGTTTATCTCCGTCAAGGTCACGGTACGTCTTCCCGACAGGGACGGCGCCAGGAGTTTCGAAGTGGAGAGACAGCGGGGAGGAGCACCAAATATCAGGGTCCTCGACTGCAGGCACACTTCCAAACAAGGCCAGCACGTCGAGCATGGGGGGAAAATACCTTCAACATATCTAGTCCCCTTTCTCTCCCTCTCTCTCTGTCTCCCTCTCTCTGGGGGTTGTCTGCGAAAAATTTGTGCCCTGAAAGCTCCCAAACGCAGACGCCAAGCAGCCTTCCTCAGGGGTGGCGGATTATCCTTCCTCTCTAGCGGCCGCCTTTTCATCACTCTTCGTTTGATGGTTTCTTCGTGGTTCTGGGCTTGTCTTTTGGCATGTCTTTTTCGGCTTGCTTTGAGATGCTGTCGCCCACGGGCTCACTAAAGGTATCTTATTGGCACGGTGTGCTAATTGCCAAGGGAGGTGCGAAGGGGACGTAACGGGAGGAGACGTTCCAAAGGGGGGGGGGGGGGGGGGGGGGGGGTGCAGCTTGTACAACCAGATGACCAATTGCTTTTCTTCTCAACTGAGAGAGGAAGCAAATGCTTTGGGTACAGTGTAGTCTGGGTCTGAGGTTCTCCTGAAGACGCTCCGGACTTCCCCACGACCTTGGCTTAAACATAAGCCCGCTTACGTCCTCGACTCCATCCCTCACTGAGGATCAGCGCCGCAGCACGGAATACAGAAAGAAGCCGACGAGCGCCAGAAGGGGGAGATGTTTCCTCGAATGGGCTTCATACTGCCTGCGGTACGACTTCTCGTGGCGGGAAGCTAATAAAAGAAAGATAAACGGTACAAGCACTCTAAAGGCTGGAGGCTGCTTACACGGGGTCCTCAAGCCGACGCCGTAGGCATTTATTTGTATACAATGCCGTTTCAACTTAGGGTGGCGGGACATATTTTAGGAAAAGCGCCCGCTACCCCTTGTCTCCGTCTTTTCCAGTTAAACGCGGCTTCTGTGGATTGACGGCAGAGCTTTCGCGCGGCTTTGCAGGAGCGAATATGTGTGTGTCGAACGGACTTGGGGAAAACGAGCCCTTTCAAAGATGCGGCTATACATAAATTAAATCGACAGTGCCTGTGCCCGTTCGAGTGAACACCGACTCCCAAACATCCAAGCTGCAGTCGTGATAGGCCTTTAGCCCAGTTGAGATTCGCCGACCTTACAAACGCTCTGCCCTATCATATCTCTGCACCTGTCCTCTCGACCCTGACGAATGAGCTAACTACCCAGAAACAAGTAAGTGTTCCTTTGATACAGAAAATATCCAGACGAAAAGCAATCGATAATAATTTGGAAGGATCCATTGCTGGTTTAAGGTCTTGTCTAAGTTCAAAAGTTATAGTTGTTGAACTGCAACATGCTTTTAAAAATATTCAACAATTATTCGCTTTCGTTCTCTCGAGTTGCATCCAGAATACGTGAAAACACGAGTTTGGGTTGGCAATGCCGCATGTGCTGCGCTCTGGACATTCCAAATATACGGCGAACAACCGACGAACTTGCATGGCAGCGTTTGTTTCGCTCGCTGCGTCTACAGTGCATGTTTTGACGCCGCGAGCAGCGTCGAAGCCGCCGGGCCATTTTTGTCGCTTGTTTGCGCTGTACTCGCTCCGCTGAATTAAGCCGCTCTTCCCGTTGCCGCAGCAGTTGAGCACTACCTCCAACCAGAATGTCTGCCAAGGCAATGTCTTTAAGCTGTCCTAAATCGACTGCTCCCGTAGTGTCGGTCTGAAACCCATGTTTCAGAAAGGATAGTGTCACCACAATTTTCGAGATACTTACCTCTAGCGTGGTCACCCGAAAGGTTTTAATTCAAAGAGTTCATCCTTGACAGGTAAACCGATACAAAAGCTCTCAAGATCTATAGATGCTTTACACACGCACTAAATTACAGCCGCCATTGCTGACCTTCTCCTGTCTTACCGAGATGCCGAGCAACTGAAACGGTAGTTGACGATTCTCTACAAAGGCCGATGCTTTAGAAAAGGACACAGTTGAATCTAATGTGGCCATAACCTGGCCTGCTATGGTAATGATGAAGTGAAATAAACGAAATAAGAGGAAATGAAAACTGAGGGTCAGTTATGGCGGCGTTTATGCACAGCTGCTGCAAAGCGTCTAAATTATGTTATCAGAGTTTAGGAAAAACGATAACTCCACAAAAAATATAAACACTCCCCCCCCCCCCCCCCTCCCCCGCCCCCGCCGTTTTACACCGAGGAACCGCCCCCCCCCTAAAATGGAGGTCTGGATCCGCCCCTGAACAGGACCGGCGCAAGCCTAGCATCATGACTATTTCGCCTGATCTGACTTAATTTGTTCACACGTGTTCATGCTCAATAAAGTCGTCGGTTCCCGTAAAAACAGCCCTGCTGTCCAGTGAATCATGCTACCGTCTTGACTGTGACCACGGTTTCAGTACTGAGAGGACACTTACTCAGGTAAGAATTTGCGAGCCATTTGGCTAGAGCAATCGGGTTTTTGCCTTGCACGAGGTTTGTCGAGGTATGTTCCCATCGTTTCGTTCCAGAAGGCCCGTAGCTCTGAAGTTGTGAGCGGCGCATTCGACTTGCCAAAGCGAATAGGTCGTGTTTTAATCAAGCGTCGTGACGCGCCCCCACCTTGCTCGTGGACGCTATGCAAGAAAACAGCAAAAAAGCTGAAAGGAGTGTATATTTATTTCATCAATTTCTTTAGACCTTTTGGTCGCCTTTTAGCGCAGATTGACAGACGCTGACGGATACCTGTATTAAACCGTTGCTCACGCGTGATGGAACGCTCGAGCACTGCTTTCATGGTCGTGTCTTGTGGGTGTTGTAGACGGTGGTAAATGGTGGCGGTATAGCAGACGGACGCAGGCGATGGCGGGCTCTTAAGTGCCGCTTTCATTCGAGCGTGTCAGACGTTGGTAGTGTGTGTTCTAATAGCAGACGATGCCAAACCCTGCCGTGTATCTGCTCGCAGGACTAGCAGGCGGTGTCGGACGGCAGACTAGACGCACCGGACAATGCGACGGGGAGACATTAGGTTCGCATACGTGCTTGGCCACCACTCTTTGGCAGGGCATAAAGAGGATCATGACCCCCACCGAATTTCATATAGCGGCATAAATATTGTGCCAAAATAGTTTTATTTAATCAAATATTGTTTTTGCAAAATGTTTTATTAGCATTAAAAAAAAAGGTGTTCTTTTTTCAGTACTTTTTTAAGCGAAGACAATATTGTTTTTTTAAAGGAAAGCAAAACGTTCTATGTCCCACAAGTTTGCAAACGTTGTAAAAGCAGAGCTCGGCCTGTTTTGAATCCCGCATTTGAACCACAATGAACACGGTTACCAGCGATAACTAGCTATAGCTTGTGCTTCCGGCACCTCTTGTTGAGAGGCTACAACCGTGCAGCAAGACGTTAACACCGCCATATCATTTGGTGATTCTCGGGTAAAGTACTTGCAATGCCTAACATTACTGAGGCCAGGACAATCGCTTTAGCTGATGGTGACGAAGGTAACGTCATTGCAAAAAGAGACGGCAATCACGAACCAACTTTACACTGCGTCGATTATTTCGTGTAAGTGGTAGAGGCTAGCGCACCTTCTGCAGTGCTCTATCGCTCTCAAAGGTACTTGCACGTGGCCAAACAAAGCAACGCGTTTGTGTGATTGTCACCTCCTTTGCACAAGAGCGTGTGCAAATGAGATGCAATACAAAGCATTACGCTTCCACTGCAGTGCACGGATGCAGCACCACAGAAATTATGCTAGCCTCGACAGCGTAGCACAAAATAGTTGACTCAGTGTATAGATCAATCCAAAGTTCTCATTCCTAAGAGCTTTTGAGCTGTCATAGGATTCCGTCATAAGGTAGGCAGAACTTTAAAAACTTTATTTTCATGAACCTGGATTTTTTTGTAGGTTCTGGAAGGTTGTTCTAAAATCCTGACCTCGGGCCATTGGTAACTCGCGAGGGGAACGCAGCTCTGCGACACTGAAAACATACTTGCCTCGGTGATCAGAAAGGCAGATTATCAAACCGACGCTTTCGTTTGAAAAAACCTAGAACGCAGGGCAGAACTCTACGGTCCGTTGCGGCGAGTCCTGCATCCATGTTCCCGAGATGCGGACACCAATAAAGAATACGCCTTCGGACGAAGACACGCTAATCCGTGAATGTCGTAAAAGCAAAGTAGTTTCTTTCATCTTGCACCTAATCTCTGGTGTGGATAAAATGCCAGTTTGGGAGTTATCTGGGTGCTGAAGGGTACCTCGCATAAATAAATAAATAAATAAATAAATAAAACCTCACTAACTTCTTTCGAGACATTCCCATTTTCTTGTCACGCACACGCGTCGAGCTACACGTGGTCTATGCACCGCTTCAACTTACAACATACCGCAGCGGATGCGAAGAGTCGCCAATGCCAATCCACAACTCTCAGTACATCCAGCGACCTTCCGGTTGGGCAGAGTGGCAGTGTGACGCACAGCTACGTCATAGCATCCGCTGCAATACGTCGTAAAATGAAGCAGAGTATAGTTGTGCTACAAAGCAGAGCGGTTGCGTCGTCAAAAAACAGATGGTGGAGCCTGGGGAATTTTTACACTCCAGCGGCTCGGAACGTGGAGTATCAGAGCCACGCACCTTCCAGGCCTCTTCCCAGACCTTGCGTACAAGCTGCTCCGCCTGCTCCGCTTCCTCCAGCACCTTGCGCACCAGGTGCTCCGCCTGCTCCGCCGCACGGGCAGGGAGCGACAGCTCATCCTCGTCATCGTCGTCGTCCTGCAAAAACATGCCCCTTCAGTCAGAGGAAACAATTTGCCGACTCTTTGGCCTTTCCCAAAGACGTTCTAAATGCATCACATTGTCAGAACCTCTTCGCACTCCTCCTTCTGCAAGCACGGTAAGGAGGGCACTCAAGGGCACACTGCGAGGGTCTTGCAAATATATAATGTCATCACAGTCTCACATGACACTAGAAAGTCAGAGAGGCTACATACCACAGACACACGATCCCCAAGGCTGACCCTAGAAATGCTACGCATTTAAAAGCTACATATATCTAGGTATACGACACACACCGACCACACAAACCGATCCATCTCTTGAGACGTGAGGGAAAAATAACATACTGGAGAATACCGCACATCTGCCCATTCCACATTAAGCACCCATTATGAAAATTTGTAAGGTCTCAGAAAATACGCACAGTACATTTATATGTAAAATTGAGCCGTCCGACATATAATGTTGGCTGCTCTCATGAAACTGCCTATAACGTCACGCATGAATAGCTGAAATTTCAGGAATACTTTTTATATCTCGCTTTGTTACTAATGTGTTGACTAACCCTCATATTTATTTTTCGTAGTAAATTGTATATCACTGGAGAAGGCCCAGCTTGCCATCGGCAATTCGGCTTGTCACCGAGCACATTACACCCAAATCCATGCAGCATTTGGATCCCCGGTCAACAGGTTTGAACCATGTCTGAGGTGCCCGCAATTTGAGAGAAACTCGACGCACAACTGAGGTATCAGTCCCAGGTCAAAATATGCCCGGGTGGTCAAATTTAATCTGAGTCCTTCCTCGGTTTGGCATGGAAACCCCAAGATTTACTCTAGAAGAGAAAGATGAACCATCAAAGACATAGTTGGCAAGTTATGTTTTAGCGATTCTATGTTGTGAGTAACCTGGGCCCATGCATCCAGAGTGCGCTACCATTCGGTGCTGTCACGTCTTGTCGTTGACGTAAGACGAGAAGACATTCGGTACCACATCTCGCTTCATGCTGCAGCTTAAAATACTGACCATCACCGTTAGTTTAGTCTCCACTCAAGTTACAAACTGTATCTATGGCATGGTATTTTTTTTTATCGGAAATGCAAGCAAAATAATAATGAAAATATTCTATTTTTACTAACAATTGTCTCATGATAGCTGAAGCCATTGTTTGATAGGAGGGTAGCATTGCTTTTCTGTACAATCTTGCAAAAAAAACTAAACTGCACTCCGACCTCTTATCAGATGAGCACACTCATAGATAACAATTCGCTTTTATGCAATACATTGCTATTCTTGTTCCTATTTGTTTGACTAGGCATCAGATCCCGTTCATGTCCATACCTCTAGAAAACCTCTACCTTTGTCACGGATGTATCTCTCCTTAGCTCCAATAAGCACGGGGGTTGACGTCACTACCATTATCAAAGGATCTACAGGCAATGCTTTAATCAATGCGACTGGATCACTTGGTTATTCAACTCCCATACAGATAGTGAAAATCACCCCCTTGATCATGAGTACACTGCAATACTGCCGGCTAGTCATAGTGAAATCAGTTCCATCTGGCAAGGCTGTCTACTTTAGGCTCTAAACGTTAAGTTATAGAAATAATGAGCTCCCAAAAATGTTTTTGTTAAGGAGGACACATGCAGAGTGGGCTTTTGGGCTTCATAGTTTTTTTTTTTTTAAAAAGTTGTCTCCGCATGTTAGTTATACGGCCAGGGATACACAGCATACGGGGCTAATAGTAGCAATAAGCCGGATAATTAACTCAACTGTTTAACGAATTTTTAATTACTGCACATAAACACGTGGTTCCAATTAGAAATTTGCCGAGCATCATTGAAAACCATTAAATCAAATTTGAGCAAGATTCGGAGTGCGTGAAAAGCACGGAGGTGCACCAGAGTTATTACTCACGTCGCAAGCGCAAGGATAATGAGTGATGACACCATCGCACACTTATTGTTCCCATTTCTGCACTGCCAACCTCAAGCTTGTTCCACAACTGGTTGCTTCAGCAGACCACCTAACTCCCCAGGCTCTCCAAATATTTCTAAAGTATGGATTTAGCGGTTTTCGATGATGCTCAGCAAGTTTCTAATTAAAACCATATGCTTTGTTCTACTAACTAAAAAGTTAATGAACAGATTTAGATAAATATTCGGCTTATCGCAACGATTAGCCCTATATATTACTAATGTAGTTTTTATAGCTTGTTTTAAAAACAATCTGAAAAGCTTAAAGAAAAAAAAAAAGACACCCACTGTGCAAGCTTTATCTTTTGCACCTCATTTGCATGAGCTCGTGCAACTAGTCTTCACAGAGTTGGAGCACTGTGGAAGCTAGGCTAGTTTTGACAGTGTAGCACAAAATAGTTGACGCCGGGTATAGATAGCAACGGGCAGAGGCAGAGGTTGAACCTTGGGTTCCGCAGCGTTAGCTTTCACGCCGCAGAACCCGTGCTTTTGCCGATCCCCCCCTTCCCGAATAGTGCAGCATGTATTCAAAGCCACGCATTCCACCATTTGCACATTGGTAGGCTCGGAGGACGTCTGTGCCACCTAAATTAGCTTTGCGGTCGTCCACCACTACTCCGTGTTAAAGGACACATGCAAAGGAAAAAAACATTTTTTTATAAAAGTAACTTATTCATCTTTCTTTGAAGTATAACAAAAAACTAAGATGAATAAGTAACTTTTAGAGCCCAAAGGAAACTCCTGAAAAAGCGCAAGCAGACGTGATAGACCTGTGCGCCGGTCAGACGACGGCAGCGGCGCCCCGAAGCAGACGAACTTGTGCGGCGGCGGCGACGGCGGCGTGGAGAAACGCGTTGAAGCGGCGTTTGCACAACGCTCAGCGTGCGGCGGCGCACGGGATTACCACGTGACCAGCGGCGGCTCCCGCAAGCGCCAACTACAAATTCGTATAGCGTCGTAAATATAGCTCTAAAAATTTTTTTTCTTCGTTGTAAAATCGTTTTATGACATCCTTTTTCCATCTAAGCTGTCTAAAAAAAATGTTTTTTTTCCTTTGCATGTGTCCTTTAAAGATCCCAGGATAGCAGTTGTACTGCAGTGGCTAAATTTCTCATCTACAGCAGAGACATCGGACAGGGGGGCTGACCAACTTCCTGCTGTCTAAACATACAAAAAACTAATTACCTTTACTACCTTGTGGGCTACTGGGAACCCACAAGCAGCAGAAATGAGGCTCTACTGCATGCTTTTACGAGTTTCCAGTGGCCCTCCAAGTAGTGCAGCAAGCATAAACAGCCACGCACCCAGGCATCTGCACTTTGTATAAAACGGTACGTTCACGGGAGATCTGTGCAACGTTGCAGGATCCAGAGAATGTGGAACTATGGTGCCTGAAATGTGCGCCCGACTGGCGTGTTTAAGGCATCGTCAAAAGCGCCTTTTTTTCCGGCATGACAATGTCTAAAAGTTTTACGCCATTGCGGTGGCACAGCAGTGGATGTAGATGTGGCAGACACCCGTTTTACTGCGGGTCTCTCCTACGCTATGCCCAGTCTGCACGTGTAATGTCACCAACTCGCCACTTTACTGCCACTCTCCGGTTACACGGTCCACGAAAGCTTCGGCAGCCACGAGTTGGGACGTCGCTACGAATGCGATGCTGGTATTTGCTCCATCTTTTGCCGGAACTTCTACGACCAATTGTCGTAACTACGACATCCGACAACGTGACACGCCACTTCTTGCGACCTCGTTAGCCACCACTTCGAGATCACTTTCGAAGAATGGGCGGTATAGGAAGCTAAACACACCAGTCAATGACGCGCTCCACACTACGTAGTAGTACCCTTTGTGCTGCCAGGAAAGCCTAGGCGGTACGGGCCGAGCCCCCCTTTAGGGGCTCGACGAGAGCATGGTGCCCGAAACGAGTCTTCGACCGGCATGTCTACCGTGCCATCTTGCCCATACAACCAAAGTAGTCCTGAAGCGGAGACAAAACTCGCCACAAGAGCCGGCATGCCACACCTTCGGAGCTCATGATCTCCGCGGCCGGTCGTAGAAATGCTTGCAAAAAAAGGGAAGGAGTTGCAACGTCGTCTTGCACTTGCTTTGGCTTCCATCGACCGTGTGGCTGCGGAGCGAACGACGCCAGAACGGGCGCCTACCATATCTGCGTCTGTCTTTGTCTGTTTTGGTTTCCGTCGACGAGAGCCTACAGCACAGCAACGAGAGCGCACAGCGGACGCTGTAGGCTCTCGTTGCCATGCCTACAACACCCGCCGCCGTCGCTGCTGCACTGCCGAGATTGCGGCAGGCAACGGCCTGACGCTTTTAAGACGTCGTCGGGCGAAAATCGATGGACCGCTTTTGAGGATGCAGAAAACAAGCCAGCCGTGGACGAGCTGCGGGCACGGCAATGAGAGTGAGGGGGAGCCCTTGCCTCGTGGCGTCCCAGCAGGTGGTCCTCCTCAGGGGTGCCCGGCGGGGCGAAGGTGGGCGGCTCGCTCAGGCAGTCGTCGTCCACGTCCAGGAAGCCCGCGTCGGCCGGCAGCTCGAGCTCTGGGGGCGGCCGCAGCACGGGGTTGCCACGCCGTCGCTCGCGGACCTCCATCGCAAACCTCGAAGGTGGACGAGCAGTGAAGGAGTGCTGGGGCTATCGGACACCTCTTCCGCCTGCACGGACATGTACGCACGAAGTGATATACAGGCCTTCTCGACGTGGGCGCCGCCATCTTGAATTGCGCAACTTCCGGTCCATGCCACTGGGAAGTGTTTACGTTTTAATTGCAGCCGTCACTAATGCTTCCGTGCTCTTCTCTATCCTTTGTACTTATTCCGGGTAGTAATGTCTCGCTTTGTTCTCGACACCCAGACTCGATGTGTCAACTATGTGTCTGGGGATGTGGGTAAACGGAAGAGGACTACGCACAAACCTGTGGAAGCTGGCCTGGACGTGTACTCTATAAACATACCTGCCAAGTTCGGGGAAACCAAACCCTTTAGATTTTCTAAGCCAAAGGGGAAGGAAGAGGGGGGTTTAAAAGAAGTATTGACAATGAATTTACAAAAAGACAACTTCATTACATTTGCACTGGAGGAGGAGTTTGTGTTTTCCAGCAGATTTTCCTGTCAATAGCACAACAGTACAAAATGAGGAAACTTTGGGAGTCCCCTGGGTAATACGGGAGACTTTGCGGGTAAGTATAAATTTAACTGCAATTCTGGTCAAACAACTTCATGAAAAGAGTCAACATTTTCAATGTAAGTTTTTTTTGTTTTTTATGTCACGCTGCTGGATGTGAACGAAAAATCAGAATATTTTTTTGGAATCATTGATTTCAGTTTTGTAGCACAAAATTACTATATTGTGAACTGCTATACTTGGCGACAATTTTTCTCGGCGTTTCCGGGGAGAAAAGGAGAGCTTGCGCACAGCTTTATTCAGCACTCAAAATGGAAGAGAGAATGTGTGCCTGTACTTTCAATTGCACTGCCAAGAAAAATTGTCGCAGAGTATAGAGCAGTTGACTATTTGCAAAGTAGTTTCTCATCAATAATCACCACAGCCTCATTGCCAGCAAGAAAAACTTGCATTCAATTGAATTGACAAATCAAGAAAAGGCTCGACAATAATCATAAGATGAAGCATATTTAGATTTCACAAGGTAATAAAATATACATATTTAATGTAGGTCCCGAAACCTTTCCTGTCGTCATTGATGATATGGGCATTGTATTGTGGGGTTGACGGCGTTTTCTCTTATAAATGTGTACGTCCTTTGTATTTGAAAATGCTTTTAACAAAGGAGATCTCTGGATAGAAGGTGGCTGAGAGTGGCTGTGGGGGTACATAGAGGATGCTCGAGAAATAAACCAGTTAGCCAAACTTGAGACATTCCCTTTCGCGTCTGCTCCCCACTAAAAGATTTTTTTTTTTTTTTTTTTCTGCCCCACGGTCTGAGGTATTAAACGACATGGTTGGACATATCTTTCCGTTGTCGTTACCTCCACCTCCACCTCCATCATCATCATCCCCACCATGGTTACTGTTATCACAAGGGGCCTCATATCAGCCTTAGCACAGGGCCCCAAATGCCTTAATCCGGCACTGACTCTATCCGACTGTTTTTTTTTTCTGTTTCTTAAGGAAATGGGGGCAAAAAAAAAAAAGTCACAATAGGTGCAAAAAAAAAAAAAAAAAGAAGACATTGGGGAAGCTTATAGCATCCTCGATCATCCGCACCGGTGCGCACCGGGGCACTGAGGTGCGCCCCTTCATCTTCGATCAAGTGCACCGGTGCGCACCGTACGTCCTCGATCAACGAAGCGCACCCTCCCGGTGCGGCTTTTCGTTGCCCCAACGCGCACCAAGAAAATCGGCGGTGCGCCGGGGGGCAGTCCCATCAGGCATTGCGGCCAGGAGCGGGAATCGAGAAGATGGCGGGAGTAGCAGACGCGCAGATTATCGAGATGGCGATCTTGCAAAAACGAACACGCTTCGCAGCTGCACTAGATGATTTCCTCGGGTCTTCTGACGGCGAGACGACGAGCTTCTCACCCTCGCCGCGATTACTGGCGATTGCTGCGGTGGCAAGGAGCGCCCGAAAAGCACGAACTTCGTGGAAAGCGGCGCGAGGCGTTTCGATGACAGCGAGGTACGGCTATTATCTGTTGTTTCGTTTTCTTGAACTAATAATGATGGCCAACATATACATGTGGAATTGTCACCCGCTTCGTGACCCCATCGACAATCACGTCCACGATGTTTATTTCTGTGGGACCGTCAAATCCGCGAGTAAATAAATAGAAGAAATTGACAGCAGACGGGCACCGTGCGCTGACCTACGCAAAATAAACGAACAAAACGCGAAGTGACGCAAGGTGGAGCTCGCCGCGGTGCACCGGCGCGGCGCAGTTTGTCCTCGATGTTGCACCGACATCGCGCTGCACGACCGAGGAGCGCTGTGCACTGTGCTGGTTTCAGGGCGATTCCGGTGCGAGTTGATCGAAGATGCTATGAAGCTATGTCAGTAAAGCTCAATGCCAGCAGGATCTAGCCCTTGGTCGAAGGAGTGTCCGCGCTCGCTCGAGTTCCGGCTCACTCCATTTCACAAAATGACCTCCTGAACCGGCGTCTGAAACGGTCTATTACGTAGAGCGGAAAGCGGAAAAACACTCAAAAGCGTTTTTTGTTTTCCTCTTTCCTTATTTTAAGCGTGCACTCTCGAGATAAATCGCGTGAACGCGAGAGGCCCCCTAGAACGATATACCAGAAATGCCGTCTCTTATCAGGGGCCAGAGAAGGGACGAGCGATCGTCACTTAAAACTCGAGAAAGGTTTCGGTAAGCTATTCACACAGAACACAACACCCTCCTATTTTCAGCGTACACGGTTTCGTGCGCAGGAGCACATGTAACATTGTTCCTCGAATCCACTTTGCCGCTAATCTGCTTTGCACGCGCTCGCAGGGGCGCGAAATTGTGTCCGCTGGAAACTGGAGCGAGTCGTGTTGAGTGCGGCTAGCGGAAGCCCACCGTTAGTTGCAAAACACAGTTCTAGCGCAAGTGCCGTTTACAATGGCGCACGTCGAAGGAGAAGGCAGCTGCGAGGATGCCGGCGCTAATACATCGACCGTTTTCGAATTTTCCTGTACCACTACATCGATAACCTGGGCAAGTTGTCGTCACCCACGACCGTCCCACGACGACAATGAATGTAGGAGCTCCTTGCCTGACGTCAGACTGCTTGATTCCGTCGCGAGCGAGACAGCGTGACGGAAGAAAACAAAACAAACAGCCCCCTCCTATTCGCAGTTACAACACCGTCAATTGTTTCCTCCAACATCCGCAATTCCCGTGTTCGCCTGAATGAACAGAACCCGACAAACGAACGATTCTAACGAATCCGACAAACGAACGATATTCAACAGGTTCCGCTGACTGAGGCGATACGCGAGTCTAGAAAATGAATGAAAAGTGGATATTAACGGGGGTCAACGTTAGCTCACGGCCGCTCCAAGGACGCCAGCGCGAAATCAGCTCCGTGAGTGTCAATAACTGTGGGATACTGTCGACTCCTCCGATCACAAACTGCTGGGAAGAAAACAATTTCCTTTCTGCCGTTGTGCCCCCCAAGCCCGTAAACGTAGAGAATACAATCGATTTTTCTACTCACGTCCGAAGGTGCGTCGCCTCGCCAATCCCACGTGAATATTTTATGAATGCTGGCCGAATGACTTCTCGGACGTCGCAGGAATCCTCTGAGGTAATTTTGTGGCGGCGGTAAATAAGGCGGGGATGGCGAAAGCTGGAATGGATTTTGCCGACCGAATAGGGGCAGCCGCTGCAACCACCGCAGCCAGCCACCGAGAGACTGGCACCTGACGCGACGCACGTCACACGCGTTTGGACACCCACACACACACGAGCCCGTGACAGAAGCGTGCACAAACACAGCAAACGTCAAGCCGCGTATCGTCGACCCCAGATGGCGCCAGTAAACATATGAGGTGGTGAGAGAGATTTGGAAAGGGGTCATGGTGCCTGGCTTGACTTTTGGAAACGCAGTGCTATGCATGAAATCCGAAGTGCATGCGAAACTAGAAATAAAACAGCGCGGAGTAGGTAGACTGGCTTTGGGGGCGCATTGCAAAACGCCAAACCAGGGAGTACAAGGAGACATGGGATGGGCATCATTTGAGAGCAGGGAAGCGGTGAGCAAGGTAGAATTTGAGGATAGGTTGAGGCTAATGGATGGGGAGCAATGGGCACGAAAGGTTTTCAGCTATTTATACATGAGGAGTGTAGACACAAAGTGGAGACAGCGCACTAGGAAATTAAGAGGAAGGTTTTTGGGCTATAGCGAAGATACGGAAGAGCAAGTCTCAGTTAAGAAGAAAGTTAAGGCCACAGAAAGAGATCGGTGGCTAGAGGGAATGCAGACAAAGACTGCTCTGGAAAGCTATAGATTAAACAAAAGAGTTATTGCCAAAGAAAGCATTTATGACAATTCTAGGGGAAGCTCATTGCTGTTTGAGGCAAGAACGGGTGTTCTGCGAACCAGAACATACAGAGTGAAGTACCAGGAAATTGATACAGTGTGCACTGCTTGTGGAGAGGAGGACGAGACGGCTGAGCACTTGATACTCTACTGTAAAGGGCTTCACCCTATGCCTACCGAAGACAACATAGATTTAATAAAGTCATTGGGTTTTAGAGACAGCGAAGGGAGAGTGGATTTCAAGACTGTAGAGATTACCAAGCAAAGATTAAGTGAATGGTGGCAGAAATCGAGAGAAAACTAGGTATTTTCTTAATCACTGATGGCAAGGGGGTTTCATAGCCTCACTTTCTTTGCACTGCGGAGTGAATATAGATTTCACATTTAAATATTCTAAGCTTAAATGGTAAAACAAAATGGCTAGGTGGCGTAAGCTACCGCCCGATCCAAAGGGCTCAGCCGTATTCATCCATCCATCCATCCATCCAGCCCAATAAACGGCTGTTTGAGGCCATGAGCCCGTAGAAATTATCATAAACCCAGCTCTGCATCGTTGGCATAAACCCATCCAAGTACGCGATTCGTTATCACGGATATCGTAAGCATTATTGCATTATCCAAGGCATCCAAAGTGAGCTAATGCTATAATGAGACGCCAGAATAATCGAGTCTCGTTCGGTCGTTAAGCAAATGAGCTGAACAAGCACAGTAGATCAGCGGAAACTCTCGATTAAAATGAGGCGAATTAATAACTACGTGGTCATATATATGTTAGTATTTTATTGTGAAGCCTCAGATTTTGAAATGCAAGATTTTCCACAATGCTCGCGCGGCTAGTAGTTAGCGCCATCTTTTGACAGCCTCTTGAGTAACTCTCAACTTTTGCGTGACGTCATTAGGCTGTCACGATCGTCACGGCCAGCCGGCGTAGGTCACGACGGCTACCGATCACGCGGCTATGGTGGGCTTGTAGATTTTCAATGCATAGCAGCTTTAGGTTGTTGCTTGGCAAGTCATCTCATAGAATCCTTGCTAACAATTTCTCTTAAAAAAATGCTATTTTGTAATAAAATCAAACCGATTTTAGAATAAGTGATACATGAAAGTACTGAATGCGGAGTGCACGTTCGTCGGCTTTTTTTTTGCCGGGGTTGTGGTGACGTCAGAACGCCGAGCTCTGATTGAAGTATAGTGGGTAGACCTCAAGGCATCTTGCTTCGAGTTCTACCCACTATATCCTTCAATGAGAGCCAATCAGAGCTCGGCATTCCGACGTCAACCATAATCCTTGCAAAAGAAGCAGACGAACTTGTACTCCACATTAAAACTCTGCTGGCATTTTTTTTTTTTTTTTAAGTGATATTCTTGCCAACACAGGTTCAATAAAACAGCTGTGTACCCAAGCCCAGTAAGGCGTGCTCTGTGCAAGTAAAGCAAGCACTGCTGATCGCCCGTTTACTTCCAACATGTTCCATCCTCGAGATTCAAAAATTCCTCCGAGAAAACTTCTGCCTTTACTCAAACCCATGAGCATCCAAAGAAGCAGTTTCCCTCCACCCAGCCCTCTGGGAGAGACGGTAGCAAGCTATATCGTATTTGGTGCAACCACAGTGCAGCTCATAGACAAAGCATTTCGTTAGACCACGGCTGCACTGCCATGGATATCCAGTGTAGCAGCCAACCCTAGTTTATAATTAAAAGCTTTCCTGAGCAGAGCACCATACAAAATGTATGGGTGCGCAGTCGACGCCAACTTTTTTTAAACAGGACCCAGAAATTGAGAACACAGATCGCCTCCATGCGCCAGCGAAAAGCGCCGCGATCATCTCAATCTCGGTACGTCTATTCGATCCGACAGCGAGCAAAGGGCAATCGGAAAATAAGAGGAACAAAAAGTATTTATAGAGATTTTATCAATTACTGGAACTGGTGAATGTCGTCCCGTAGCGATTTCGGAACCGTTGAACATACAAACAGTGATGGAAGTGGCATTTGACTTCTGTAGCAGGTTTTCTAGCAGGCAAAAAGTTGGTTTGGAGCAGCCATTTACCCATTGGAGCAGATGCCAACATGTGTTAGCGCATCACTTGAAAGTCAAACAATGATTTCGCTAAATAAGTCAATCCTTGATTGACTTATTTGAGGGTTCATCTTTGATTTTTCAGGCATATTACCTTATACCTCTTGATCATAAAAAGCACACTTTTTAGAAATAAGGCTCCATCTACAATGGGGATAAAGAAAAACATATTTGAAAACTGAATCGTAGCAACACTCTGGTTCAGATGAAACGACTCTTCCACTTCCTTATTTACACTCATAGTTAAGGTAGCGAGTCAATATCATTAATTTAAGTAAAATTTCACAAAAACTAGCATACCTGTTAAAACGTCGATCAATGAAGATGTGTTCCACCAAGATTTATGAACCTACCAAACTCAAATATCTAATCTAATAAACTGGAAAAAAAGAAAGAAAAAGTTCAGCTTTTTTATTCTTGTGAAGGAAGACCAGCGGAGCTGTACTGCATAGACTGTGTGCTTCTTCGTCGTCTGTTTTTCGCGCCGTTTCCTACGATGAATTCCCACCAACGCGCCCAACTATCCATTCTTCTATTATAGCTGGAAAGGTTGCCGCCATCTACGAGCAACGGCGGAAACCATAGTGGCTGTGTGCTTGCCGCCGTCGCTTATAGATGCCGGTAGCTGTCCAGGTAGGTTTGTGTCGACATACATGGACACGATCCTGGGGAACCTACAACATCACCGCCAAATAATACCAAAAATTACTTAAACTTTAAAAGCAACCCTATAATTCTGCAAGAGCAAGTGGCACTGGAGCCAGAGTTTAGTCAGAATTCGGTGCCCTTTCAATCAAATGCTGCATCCTTAGTGCATGTTTTCACGTTGATTTTTTTTAGTTCGGTGCAGTATGGTCGTCCGAGCTTGCGCCATAAAACCCACAAACAACGAGCGATCGACTGCTGCCTGGGAGCTGCCTCGACTAATTGTTATATATAGGTCAGTTTTTTTTTCTTTTTTTTTTTTAATTTCTTGGCACAGCTCTTTAAAATCAGGTCTGCCTACAATGAAGATTAAAAAATTACAGGACACTGAAGACTGCTTACGTGTAGGAAGGCAAGAGCATTATAGTCCTGTGGGAAAAATGTTTTCCAGTAATGTTTCTATACGTATTAAAGTTTAGAAAGTATAGGGCGATGTCCTAAAGATGGACACCAAGTATGGTATCTAGGATGACATCTAGGACGACGTCAAGGACAGCGTCTAGGACGAGGTCAAGAACGGTGTCTAGGACGTCAAAAACAACTTCTAGGACAACCTTAAGGATGACGTCTAGGACGATGCCTAGAGGACGCTTAAGGAGGCTGTGGCATATTTGCGTGGGCAGCCACATTTGCCTGCGGAAGCCGCCGTAGGTATAGACGCTGCTGCCGGTGTTGAGGCTGTAGATGTAGACGCGGTTGCCTCACAGTCCATCGCACGAAGCACACGGCAACAGATGAAGTTCAAAGCGTACTTTTAGCACACGGCACTCCGGCGGCGACATCATGCTCCTGTACTTGAGCGTGAGTGGTGCATACTTGACATATTTTTATGGCCATCTTTAGGGCACGACGTAGCCGCTTTTTCGCATGATAGGACAAGTAAGGTCATCCTAGAGGTCTAGGACAACCACTAGGACGACACCAAGGGCAGCGTCGTCCTTCAGCATACGACTGAGTGGCACGTGCCGCTCAATCATTATTTTATGGCCATATACGCCGCTTTTTTGCTCAACGGGACAAGTAAAACTTTCGCCATAAAAAGTTTGATCTTAATTTCCATATCCATCACGCAAAACAATGGGTGTCCCCCTCGGAAGCCGCTTATCCTAGCACACCAATGAAAAGTGGTGAAGCTTGTCGCACCCACGCCTGTGCAAGGTGTGGAAGGCCGATGCCAGTGGCACGTGGAGAGGCACGTGCCACTCGATCTTGGCACGTGGGAGAGGCATGTGGCCAGGTGAAGATCAAGTGATCTCACCGGGAATTCAAGAATCTGGTACTGCCTTATCACAACCGCCATACTCCCTTTTTATCAATTTTTGCTCGCGACTTTTAGCTTTGTAACAAGACTGACATAAAGGCATCATTGTCTGGAAGTTTAATCCCTGCACATACGCTCTGTAGGGGCATCCTCCGGAGCAGATAAACGAAAACATGGTAGTATGTGGTCGTTGTTGACGCTTACAACCCGAGCTTCAAGCAACTCCCGCAGGTTGAACAGTGGAGAAAACATAGAGCAATGCTGCACATGGGCAGGCTTCGAAAGTCGACGTGCCAAGCCTTTACTCTGAAGCTAGATCGAGAAACACTCTAATGAGCCTGCCCATTAGAGTAGGTCGCAGCAGAGCCGTATATAGGGAGAGTTTGGTCAGTCTACGATCTCGCCGCCATAACGCTCTCCTCCCAAGTGAGCCAATCAGCACGCGGCGTAGAGCGAGAGGCATGAGCGCATGCGCGTGAACTCCCGGCTGCCCCACCTGAGTGGGGAGGGCCACCATCTTCGATCATTCCCCAGCGGAATGCGTGGGATCGGCATCTAAATCTCGATTATTGCCTTTTATATCGCTGGCTCTGGCAAGAAAATGACATTCTGTTATTTCTCGGTGGGTTAAAAAGCTAATAAATGGAGATTTTTCGGCGTATGGCCAGAAACTTTTATTCAGGCGAAAAAGAAGTCGGCCCGTAGCAGACGATGCGTAGCCTCGGCAGTGCTCTTCTCCGACCAGTCTCCGACAGCGTTGCTAAAAAATGGCGGTCGTCTCCTCCCTGCTCCCTTCTTTCTCTCTCGCTCCTTCGGCGCTCCCCTTCCTTTTATTTACTTTTCTCCTCTCCGGCGCCTTCGTTGCCACACCCGCTGGCCAAACTCTCACAATATACGGCTCTGGGTCGGAGCGGGCGGCACTTAACTAAGCGGTGTGTTGCATGCCACCAAGGCATCGCATGCACGCAATTGCCTTCCACGATCCTGGTGGCGAAGCAGGGGCGGAGGTGGATACGGCAGATGCCAGTTCCGCCATACCTCACCCCGCAGCCAGACAGTTGACAGAAGCCGGAGCAGACGCGAGATGGGAGGCCGCAACGACAGCGACCCAGTACTCCGTCTCATGATAACTTGGCGAACTGCGGAGGCAAGGATCCCGCGACTCAATAAGAGTGTCGGAGCGAGACACGTAACCCAACGTCACGAGAGCATTTGTGTCACTACGCCAAATGCGAGGCCCAAGGCCCGGAGGAACCGCCTGTAGTCTGCTTGATGAATCGTCTGCTCCGAAACCAACCAACTTCGGACGAATGTCCACCGCAGCAACATTTCCATCCAGTAGAATAGCTAGCACTTCGGAAACAGTTCATGAGAAAACCATACTCTCAATCTAGCCACGAATCTGTGATGGATTTAAAGCAAAAAAGGCCGATTACACGGCTGCGATCGCCAATGGCCACGCCACTACAAGGAGAAAAATATTGGGAGTTGATACGGACGTGGTGCCACTTCTTTGGTTTAGATTTAATTGAAACTAATTTTTTATGATTATTTATTCTTTATATCTCGTCATTAGAGATGGAATCGTTCAATTGCCGTTAAAAGAAAAAGAAGACTAGAACTACTTTTTGTCGAGGGCGGCGCTGTTACTGTGGCAGTAACGAGGCCCTCGCAGCCTTGACCATGTCCTGTTATCACGTGCCTTGCTACGGCGCCCTTATTGGGTAGCAGGAGCCGCAGCCTCCACAGTTCGCCAAGTTATCGCGAAACGGAGTATAGCACCTAGCATTTTTACGACCAAGTGCCAGGATCGCGACATGTGACGACACGACACGCTGGCCCCTGTGACACAGCTGGCTGCCACTTCGGAATCACTTTCGATGCATGGGCGGGACAGGACAGAAAACCCACCAGTCAGATGCATTCCACGCACCGTAGTAGATGGCCCAGCCCTTTGTCCTCTACATGCAAAGTCCCCGGCCCCCCTCCCAAGAAAAAGTCCCACGTACACTCATGCTCAAACCCCATGATGCACATCGCCTGCAAGTGAAGCGAGCGCTCCCCGACCCACTGAGGTTTCTGGCAGCAGCCCAGCCCATCGAGTCGGCTCGGGCTGCATGCTAACAATTGCTGGCAAGTCAACAAAAATGCCGCTTCCTGAAAAAATGGCGAGTAAAGCACACCGTGCACTTGAAACATTCGGCGAAGTTTCATCTTTATGCAGCAGGCAGCAAAACAGCCGCACCAACTTCCTTCCTAGCCACTACACGGCGCAAAAGGAAACAATAAAAAACAAATGGTGCATCGAATGCTCGCGTGCACACGGTGTCCACTGACAGACGAGATGTTTGGTCCGGGGTCTGTCACTAAGCTTGGAAACGAGGAACGCCCTGAGTGACGGTGGTCACGCTTCCTCCTGGCCGTTGCGGAGGCAGCCACACTACCTACCCCCCAAAACAAAGTCCCAACAAGAAAAAAGAAAGAAGAAAACTGCACTAGGGGGCGCTGCCAACAGTTCCTGGGGCCAGAGTCGGCAATGGACGACAAAGCGACGTGTTGCCGACTGCAGCTTGCAGGCCCCCGTCCAACGGCACGTCGCTATGCCGCGATATCACTGCGTCCTGACAATCACCACATGTGGGTCTCGCGAATCTCGCCTATTATCTGGCTGGCCTTGTGGAGTGCCTGCGAGCAAAAGAAAGGAAAAAAAGATTTGCATCACTGAAACGCAAGGCTTTCACAAGTAGTTGAAAGGCGAGATATGTATAGGGCGAGCAACTTCGTCTTTATGAGGGGGGGCATCATAGAGGTGAGGAAGATGTCCTTGCAAGGGTTTCAAAACTGTTTTGTCATGGCGCCAAGCTCCGATTCGAGGACATAGCGGCTAGATGTCGTGTCTACCCACTATTTCCTCCAACCTGAGTGAGCAAGTTCGTCCGTCCTCTCCGCAGAGGGTGCAGCGGCGTCGGGAATCGGGATGGCGTCGTCTGCCGGTCGTGGCAATGACAGTCTCATCTTTCCTACGGCTTTAGGAAATCCACTGACTCTTTTTCAATAAAAACTGAGCCTTCAGGAAAGGGGAGTTGAAATAATGCTAAGAAGGTACAGGGTTTCTGTTGACTAGCAACCACCAGATGTGCTACAATGAACAAAGGACCCACGGCCGAGACGCTGTTAGCACGTGCGATCCCCCTCTCCCCTTTTTGTCCCTCCTTCCCCATAGGCAGAGACTCCTCTCTTTTTCATACCTCTCCTCTCATGTGCAAAGGGACGTGTTTTGGTAAAACTGCATGCCATACAGGACTTTAATTGCACTACATCAGCACTAGGATTCTTGAAATTTTCTACGTCTAATCTGTGCCCTGCCCTGGGGTCCGGCAGGCAACGTGGAAGGTGTAGCCATAGCCTCCTTTATACTCACAAAGCCTGGCAGTTCGACAAGAGAGCCATAGAGCGCCCGGTCGCAGATTTAGAGTGTGAGGATATGGTAGCACAGAGCATTTCTCGGGGAATCTGGTATTGATCGCAGAGCTTTTGAGCCGGCAAGGACCCGAAACACACTCGTTCTCTCAGGAGAAACCAAGGCGACTGGCTGCTGATGTCGGAGCTACGGCGATTGTGGCCACGAAGGCCTGTGGCAGAGGCTACGTTGTCAGCGTGCTCAGCGGCTCAGCTTCGTCGTCATTATTTTGTCTTTAGCAGTGCAAGCGCGAGTTGCTCTCGTTTGTCATCAAGGTATAAAGTCGTGTGCCCCATGGCGCATGGACCGGCAAAAACTCCAAGCAGGGGATAACGACCTTTCGACGCTGTTCCCGTGTATAAATATCAGTAATCTGTAATCAACCAGCCACGGCAGTTTGCCGCACAATTCTGAGCGAAAAGGAAACAGACGAAACCAAAGCGGAGGAACGGGAGAAGGGGTGGCGTTCTATTCCTTGCCAACAGAAAAAAAAAAAAAAAACTTTCAGCATTTTCATTCTGGTGAAGAAGGAAGACCAGCGAAGCTGTACTATGATGGGACAACCTCAAGCACGACTTCTTGGACGACCTCAAGGACGCCGCCTAGAGGACGACGTCTAGGACGACCTCAAGGACAGCTTCTAGGACGACCTCGGGGACGACCTCAAGGGACGACGTCTAGGAAGACCTCAAGAATGACGCCTATGACAACCTGAGGGATAAAGTCTAGGACGACCTCAAGGACGCCGCCTAGAGGACGACGTCTAGGATGACCTCAAGGACAACTTCTAGGACGACCTCGAGGACGACCTCAAGGGACGACGCCTATGACGACCTCAGGGTTGAAGTCTAGGACGACCTCATAGACAACCTCGAGGACATGGTCTATGATGACCTCAAGGACGACTTTTAGGACAACCTGTGGGACAACCTCAAGGACGACGTCTAGGATGACCTCAAGGACGACTTCTAGGACGACCTCGAGGACGAAACCTAGAGAAATTCAGCCTTTCCACTCTGGTAAAAACCAGAGTGGAAAGGTTGGAAAGGTTGTCGCCATCTGTGAGCAAGGCCGGGAAGGCCTTGCTCATAGATGGTTTGGTTGCCGCCGTCACTCATAGATGGCGTTAGCTGTCCAGAGTTTTGCGTAGACATTTCTTTGCGGGCGACACGATCCTCGGGAAACTAGCCCTTAACAGCTCCGCTGTATAAGTATAGTGTGTTTCAGCGTCCCACCGCAGCGGGGCACCCGTTACATGACTCTCCTCTTATCTGTTGTTTGCCGCTCTACCTTTTTCACTTTCAGCGGCCGCGTCTCGTGGTGAGTGGAGGCTATGGTACAGCATTACGACCTTGTTATTTAGGACGTGTTGAGCGAGCATGCTCGCACATATTGTGGGGGAGTTTGCAAGAGGGGAACAGAACAAGCGCACACTTTGGAGGAAACGGGGACATGCGAAAGAACAGGATTGAGGCTGGGGAATGTGACTGCGAGAAATGCCAACTTACGTTCCATTAAATTTAGCGGATGGTGCTCACAATGCCACATGACACCACAACTTGAAACCACAACATGACGCCACGGTTATGTGACACCGTGACACCGCACCATGCGACACCTTGACATCATATCAAGCGACACCATGACTCGATAACACATTGCCACATGACATGGCCGCACGGTTGCGGTATCATGTAATGTCAAGTGGCGCGACAACATGCCTGTGTCTAACCCAGTGCAACGCTAACCCAGTGCAACCCAAAATGTGCCGCACGCTCTGCATCTCCCAACTTCACCCGCAGGATTAAGAGGTCAATAGGACCCCTTCAAAAGTGTGCACCACCTAGTAGCCGCTGCAGCAATTACCGAATCTGCCATTGTTTAGGTAATTTTTTTTTTCTTTATTTGTTTTGCGGAGTTGTTTCCGTAGAGGGGGCAGAGATAAAGGCACAAAGCCTTTATCTATGCTGCGAGCCCTGCGAGCCCGTATTGAACACTGCGAGCCTGTATTGAATACGAGGACGTCGTTCGGTGTTAACTTGGCTCGGCTCGGCTTGCATAAGAAAACGAATGCTGCATCAGCATTCGGAGAGGACTCCGATTCGATCGCGCGTTTTACGTTCAAGAAACGGTGACCGCCGACGTCGCTTGACGAAGTTCCGAAAAGGGCCTACGTTCCCCTCCGAGACGCGGGTGCTTGCCCCCGGGCCCGCCCCTGAGAGCGCTCACCTTGACCATCTGGGCGGCCTCCCTGCGCCTGACGGCCACGTGCTCCGACTCGGCGAGGAGCTGGTCGAAGCAGTCGTGCTTGTAGAGGTGTGTGACCAGCTCGCTCTGCAGGTTGTCCTTCACAAAGTTCACCAGGAAGTGCATGATGGCCTTAGGCACCGAGTCCTGGATGTTCTTGCGCACTATCAGGAAGTACGACCGGATCAGCCGCTCTGCAACCCAGAGGCACGGGGTTTGAGAGAAGCAAGGGCCACGACGTCGCGACGCCTGATGGTGCCACCTAACAGGACTCGCAACTGTTTGCAACTTCTCACAACGAGAGAACACGGTGGCACACTGCTGCCATCTGCCGGGGGCCCTGGAACGCTCCTGGTCCGCGAATACCTAGGCTGGTGTTTGCGAGATCAGATTCATGAGCTATCTATGAGAAATCATCACCTAGTATAATGTTGTCCCAATTACTTTAAGCGTACGGCAAAAGAATGATGCGTAAAGAAATGTACACACGTCGCAAGTCTTCTGGGGCTAGACGACGGACGGCGGAAGTGTTATCTCATTGCGACCTTCACGGGTGGTTGCGACGCTGCTGGTCGCACTCAAATGCGAGGGTGTTAACCGGCGTTTAGGGCATCAACGCTCCATTCTCGGATACTTTCACTTTGGTGCACAACGGGTGCAATTGGCCAAAATTAAGACCGAGAGGCACGACCTCCCGAGCTCTAGATGTGGTGTCGGCACGTTTGAGCCGCTTTGCGCCGTCACGCATCGTTTTAACATTTCTGGAGGACGGGAAAGCGTTTCCCGAGATTTCTGCTAAAGTTTCGGACAACCGGCAACTGTCGTTTTGAGCGACGACTCCGAAGCGTCACTTCGACACGTGCGGAGCGAGGAAGCTTACCGCTAGTAGCAGCTGAAGTGCACGCTGGCTGAGCGTGCGCTCTAGCTGCTGCTAGTAGCGAGCTTCCTCGCACTGCATGCGCTGAGCGAGCAAAGATAGCAATGATAGCTTTCAGCGCACTAAGAGGCGCACTGCCGAAGCTTGGAGAGCACCGATCGAAGGGTGTAAACACATCGGAGTAGGCCACGCACCCTCGCCCCTAGGCTCACTTCCAGGCGGTGCAGCCTGTACTGCAGGCCACGCTCTCCTCTGTTCGCATTTCATTTTTCCCCCATAGTACATACCTGAAATTGGGCACGTGAAAGTCATTTTGTGCGAAGAATTATGTCTATACCTTTTTTCAGAGTTACCGAGGGGTGGCGAAATATTAAAGATAAAGCGAAAACGGCGATCGTGAATTTCTTACGTCCTATGCCAGCCTGTTTGTTGTTTGTACGCTGGATTACCAAACGCAAATACATTGAGAACGCTATAGTAGAGGCTGGCAACGAGCGGAACAGTCACGATAAGTAATAATTTTAATGTAATGTATAAATAGGGTTCAGTCTTTTCGGATAAATCCGAAAAAATTCGTAAAACACTCACCGGTAAATTTTCTGTCAATTAGGATTTCAGATTCACAAAATTTCCTGTCAATTCGGATCCAACAACATTGACAAAACAAAGAACAAGAAAGACGGAGTTTTACCCTCCCTCGCCCCTTTAATTTACAACTAAATTTTGTAAGAGCACAAGGTCAGTGGTCCTGAGGAGATTCCACTTCAGTTTCTTTTGAAATTTAGAACTACTGCCAAAAAGGGGTTTGCTTTTTAGCATGTCGAGGTTTATTCGGGACAACGGGTCATGGTACCTGGAGATTATTTATTTGGTTTTCGAATTATTAAATTTTACGCAGTAAAATAAACTTTGAATTTCAAAGAATTGGGAATCTCCCAAAAATAAACTTCAATAAAACCTGAATCCCCAGCGAAAAATAAACTCTCAAAAACACCCTCCGAATTTCACGAGAAATAAACTCCGAAAACACGGAATCCTATATATAAACTATGACTACCCGGGAGCAAGCTTGCAAACTAGTGTGCCGACGACGAAGACTTGGTATAGGATGCGGAAAATGCACGGCTGCCGCTTTTGCTTTACTTTGAATATTTCACCGCTCTTGGGTTAAAGTGATGTTTGACCGACATTTGGAGATCACAAAATTCGTCTGGAGCGATAGGCAGGACGCTGCAAAACCCAAAAGCATCACTCATACAGCGATATCTCTAACGGTTGGCCGCAATTTCGGAAAAGAAGTGCGCGAATGAACACGGCCGATGAGGTCGACAAGACATGTCACATCACGATTCTCTTTCCCTCTCCTCTTCGACCCCTTGAGCAGGTGGACTAAAGAGAGGAGGAGAGAAGCAAGGCTGCATCCCTTCATTCTCATATTTTCCAGGAGGACATTGACGTCATAGCCCTCGCTTGATCGCACCCTTCCTTTCCAAAAATACGGTTATCCAATCGAGATATTGATGTACGAGTGATGTTTTGGAGTTTGTAGCGCCTCGTTTAAAACTTCTTCGGCCTTATTTTGCAAAATTCAAATTTCAATTCAGCATCCCTTTAAGCTTCAGAAAAATAGACAAAATTTGTTCGAAAACAGTGTTTGCAAGCCCAATTTTGGATACATACATTTTGAATCAGAATTTTACGAGGCACGACGAATGCTCAGATTCTTACGTCTGCTCCCCGCAGAATTTGCTAGTGTTCGGACGATGCCTAGATATTTTGCCGCCAAACTTCTTGCTACTTTACTTCCGAAGGCTGATTCACACATTTACGTTTGAGCATGACCAGAGGCGTTGGAATCGCCTACGTCCATTCAAGACGAGAGAAAGCACCGGCGCCGTCTGTCACATAGCCCTGGAACTATGTACAGCTAGGCTGAAGGTTATATGGCATCTGCAAGTACAGTCTATGCTCATTATAACAGACCTGGTTACAACAGACATTTGGATATAACATACCGATTTGTGAAGTTTGGTTGGTTTCCCTCTATGCATTATTGACTCAACTTCATATCTGCATACAACATACTCCTCTTACAACAGACCGAAATCTTGGTAAAAATCAAGGTCTGTTATAACGAGCTTAGACTGTATAAAACCTAGCACGACCTACGAGAAATGGTAGACTCTAGCATCGTCAAACATATTTCGAGCCCACGAGGAAACATATACAGATTGTATGCATTGTAGGGCCACCCAACAGATGGCGCCACCGCATTACCTCGGTGTAAGCCATCACGAGCGAATGCGACGCACTAGGCAGCACTCAAACGCAAACGTGCGAACCAGCTGGTGGTTTTGGCATCTCTTTTTTACATAAAACATTCTTTGGCTGGGTATTTGGCATTTCGCAAGGCCCAAAAGTAAAGTGCGGATAAAAACGTGGCTGTGATACTCGACGTTGATCGGTTGACGGGTGGGAGAGAAGGGGCGAGGAGCTAGATGCCGGACTCCGGAAGATCGCTGGGTATATCGGCCTGATTAACGGTAGTATCGCTTCGTTCTAGGAACGACTCTCGAGCGTACGTGAGATATTCGTTAAGCTATCCGGCAAAGAGCGCCGTAAACGTCTGGTGTCTGGAAACTCGAAGTATCGCTACACGTTTCTGGTGTTAAAACGTTTCACCTATGCGCCACAACTGCCTAGCAATTTGCCATAAATTTCTGCATTTTTGATGGACTAGTTGCACTTTTCTCTAACGAGCCAAACCAGACTTCGATTTAGTTTCTTCCATATGAACGCCAGCTGCTCAATTTGCAGAGTGTTCGAACTCTCTCGTGGTGAGATTCCGTTTTGCCCATCAATGACGCTGGCAACAGTGGTGCCCACCGTGGTGTGAGTTAGAGCCACTATATAGGCGATGCTTCGAACTAGCGATGCTTCAGCCATCTGGTTTACTAAAACTGCTGTTGCCAGCTAACCAAAACCACGGAGAACACGATTTCGTCACCCCAAACACAAAAAAAGCCCGCAACGAAGCACAAAGATGTCTCCCGTGCTTCCAGAAGCCATATCCAAAGCCTCGGAAGTCCCTTTTCCAAACCGTAGTCGTCGCCGACTGGGCTCGCTCTGCACTGGCAACAAAATGGCGGCACCCTCTTCAATACCCCAAAGCGTAGCTCACTCAGTGGCTCCAAGCGGCGCAAAGCAGGAGAGTCTTACCGATGACCTCACAGTCCCGTTGTTCCCGGGGGGACAGCTTGCGAGAGCCCGCAGTCGGCTGCAACGAGATGTTTGCCAACTCAGAACATGTGCCAGGGCCAATGGCGTCACCTAAGTGCACGGAACGGTGCAACGTTTCTAGAACGACTCAGTTGGGAAACTGCCATAGGGGCCTGCTTTAGAGAGGTGACTCCAACCCATACTTAAGAACCAAACCATAGGCGATCCCGCCACTGCCACTTCTGCTGCAACAACTACACCGAAAATCAGGCGCGTCAGAGCTGTAAAAAAAAGTAAAAATACATTTTACCTCCGTCTGCAAACTTAATATTGCTGAGCTCCTCATGCCAAAAAAAATTATGCACCTTTAACTAACCGACAAACTAACGGAACAAACTAACTGCCTAGTTCGCGGAAGCTCATTTCTGGTGGGTGCTAAAGCTTCACATCCCAAGGGTGAATTTCTCAACTGAGTTCTAGAAACGTTGGTCAATGCAACCAGCCTCAAGGAACTTCCAGTTTTGAGAGAGGCTGCACTGTACTGGGAGCAGCTTGAACAAGTTCAAACTTGCAGTTTGTTTTACATATATTGTAAAATGTCCGGGGGAACGCCCACACCACTTTCACTGGAAACTGGGTTAATCTAGACACCGGCGCTCATCCGGTCACGTCAGGTGGTTAACGCGTAATTTGCAGAATTTCCAAGTTTGGGAAATGTTGGTACTGGACACTCGATCGAAGTGGGTGCTTTTGCAGTATTTCACAGTAATTGTTACCACCAGCTTGACTCCCCTACTGACTTAATAACTTACAAAATTCTCTCCCTGGAAATTTAAAGGAAGTTAACTAGACTGAAATTCATTTGTTAACTCTGGTGCAACAAACTTCGGCTTGAATTCTCATCCTATCTTCAGTCATCCTTGAGCGGATGGACTAGACATGACCCTCTCTCCAAAATAACTCTCGTAAGAGTTCGCACAAATGCTTCGAAATACTCTCTCTTTCAGAGAACCAATACAGAATGGAACAACCTGTCTCCCCATATACTATTTGCTCCCAACCAGTAGACCCATTGCAAAACGTGTAGCACCGACCGCGGCGGCGAAAGGGAATTGGTGGGAACAGTAGGCGCACGACCAGTTGTAGCAGACAATGGAGGTGACAGAGAAAATGAAATGTAGGTAAACAGGAGAGTGCACGAGAGCGATTGTACCAACTCCCCTCTCCCTCTTCAGAGCAAGGAGTGTACATGACTTTATGGGCGGCCTTTTGAATTTCTTGAATAGTGCCTTCATGATGAGTTTGGTTCGTGCCTTCATATTTTCCATTCCTTTTCTTGTTCCGGCGTTCCTGCGTAAACAGGACTGCAGTCTTTGCGTCCTTGTGTAAAAAGAACCGAGTTCGTTGGTTCTGCTGCTCCCAGCCACGAGCTCTAGCTGCCCTACCAAACAGCCTGTTCAAGCCGAAATCACACAAGCCCTTCAGAGCATTGCACTTCGCAGTACCGGCAGCACCAAAACCGGATCTAGGAAGGGCCGCGGCGTGCACGATGCTGCGTCATCACCGAAAACTGCCTAACCCAAAACAACAAGAACTTGAACCTGTGCCAGCAAAATTACCTTTTCCTGGCGCAGGTTGACGCCGCAGCACCGTGTGTTCAGACACGTACAGTCAACTAACAAGCCAATTAACCCACGATCTCCTGCCTTGCTCTTTTTCGTTCGAGAAAGCATTATTTTGTTTCAAAAAGGAAAAGCCGATTTGTAAATTCTGTCGTTAGAGGTCGACACAAAATGGTCGTTGTTCGGACAAAGCGTTCGATTGCGGGCAAAAGAAAATTTCAGTGTATGTGAAATTGTTTTCATAAAACCCCTACTAGTGGCCAATTTCAGTTGGCACACTCCGGGTGGAGCGACCAAGAACAAACTGCGTCGGCAGATGGCCTCAAAACGGCGGCGCACTCCCTAAAAAAGGAAGTTTCAACATCCTAGAAACCCATCTACAGCCACTGCCAAGGTGAGAAGCTTGGCAGGGCGTTTCTTTCCAACGTCCGACCTCCGGCATGTGCTTGTTGCCTTCCGACATTCTTTGGCTGCACACTCGAGGCATACGATACGCCCAAGCGTCGTCCAAGAAGCGAAGCTCGCGCAGGAGGCGGGTCAACGAGGCTACTTCCTGGCGTTCTTATCCTGTCCGTGCCTTTGCCCAGAAACTGAGAAAGAGGAAGAGACCATCGGGGACCTCACAACGCCCAGCTCTGGTCAGAATGATTAGTAGGTAGAGCTAGAGAAAATTGGGGACGTCAGGAAGCTGCGCTCAGGTTCGAATGATTGGTGGAGAGACCTAAAACTAGCTGCCTTTGCCTCCACTGCACTCGCCGAACGCCTTACAACGCGGAATGCCGGCGTCCGGGTTTCACGTTCAAATGCATTCGACGAAAGCGGTGGAAACAAGGGCAGCTAGTTTCACGCCTACCCACTAATCACTCCAACCAGAGCTGGGCATTCCGACGACCGATCGCCTTCCCCTCTCCCTCAGTTTCTCAACACGTAGTGACTCCAGTCCCCCCCGTGCACAGTCACCTCCTCTGGCAGCAGGTTGACCGGCTTCATAGGGCTGCCGGCCGCGGCCAGCGACGGGTGGTGCATGGGGCTGGCCTGGTCCGGGGTGTTGGCGCCGCTCTCGCCCCGACCCGCTGCAGTCACGGCCCCGACCACGTTGCCGATCCAGCCCAGCGCTTCGCTCGGGGCGTTGGGACGCAGTGCAAGAGCGTGGGCAGTCTGACGGACGGTTCATTCCTTTATTTTAACGCAAAATATGTTTATTGATCGGAGACAAAAAGCGTTACACGTGGGCCGAGGCAACACAGAGCGTGCCTAGACAACGGCAGGCAATGCAAGAACATACAAACAGAAGGCAGACTTAGTCACAATTAATCAGATGTAATCGTAACTAGGCATAATTAATTTTAACGAACGACCTCAACGGGAATTGAACCTCGTAACGCTTGACCTGTAGCCCAATACCTTTGCTCGACGCCATAAGGAGGAGATGTAAGGGTCTGCAAGCTGCACGACCAAATATGACTCGTGGAAACCTGCACTAGCTACTTACTGTTGGCACATGCAAGTGGCTTCTGAACCATGTAGCACTTGATCTCCCGGCATCCCGGGGACGGACCGTATCGCACCGACAGATAGCTCGGCGTACGTACAACGTTCCGAGTTCACAGAGCAGTTGACGGATAGCGTAGCGGGTGTGATAAACCAGAAACCCCTCGATTTGTTCGTCTTTGCCTAGTAAGTAGCATCAAATGCACCGAAGAAAGAGGCACGTGTTTTGCACATTCGTGCAACAACGGTTGTTGGTACTCGTAAGAAACGCGAAACCTGATTTTCATTGAGGGGCTTCAGCTAAAGCTCTCTCTCTTGCGACTACTTCAGGTGCTGTGAGGGTCTCCGTGGAATCTAAGAGCCCTAATAAATCGGGGCACTACACTCACCCTCGGTAGAAACGGAACGCACGGAAACATCTCCCTAAAGATACTCTCGCATGCTTCACTTCTGAATAAATTTAAACTCATCTCGATCGCTCTGACGAACCCGGGGGACTCGAGCGCGTCGGGTGTGCAATGCACCCAAAGTCATCCGAAGCTTTCCGTGACCAACCGCAACAAATCGTAACGCATGCATAATGTGTGCACGGCGCGTTCTGTGCTCTCCGCGTTGATCGGAATAATCGAGACAAGTTTAGGTTTCAATCAATAGAGTACGCAAGCAGTATTTCAAACACGAATATTTCATGCTTTTGGTTAATTCAAACAAATTCAGAACTTTTTGCCGTCCCGCTACGTTTTCAATGTAGCTGCTTAATTTGGACGACGTTTTTGCGCAATTCATACATCGAAGGACGTATCGATGTGATAGCGATGTGAATGGTTAGTTCAATGTTTTTACTTTTATTAAATAATCGGTCGAAGTGAGGCGCTTGTCCCGTCTACAACTTCCTTGTCTTTGTTATTTGTGCTCCATTTCCAGTTGTATCATGAATCAACTCGCCTGCATTGCCACTTTGATTCATACTTTTTGTTTTCACGGAACCGTTGAGTGCACTTTTTTACGAGCGAGGAAAAACACCCACAGAGCTCGCCTCTGCGGGTTTTGCTTGTTTGCAAGCTAAACAAACTTCACTTTGTTTTCAGGTGTCATGTTTCGTCTATCGTAAAATCCCGCGAAGGCGTCCACCCAAAATGAAGAGATAATTACCGATAAACACAGAGGCACCCACTACAAACCACATGACATGGGAACTGATACCGCAGATCGTGGATACAGCCAATTCAAGTTTCACAATCCAATAAACACGCGGGAATTCGCTACGAATGACTGTGTCACGGGAAAGGATACCACAGACTGTGGATGCAGCAGATTCCTGTTTCACGGTGCAATTAAAACGTGAAGAACAACTACAAACTTTCGTGACACAGGAACCGACATCGCGCGCACAGAACATAAGCAAAAAAACTCAAAAACTCGCTACGAAATCGCATCTACGGCAACCGACATTGCACGTGCAGATTGTGGACAGAAACGCGGGAGCCTGCTGCAAACTCACCTCTCACAATCAATGTTTCTGAATTTTTATGCTGCATAAATTTAGCCGGAGAAACTAGGTGGGCGATCTCTCAGGGGAGGGTGCCCTTACGAAATTTTGCGGTAGTCTCGAGTACTCCGACCCGTCGACCAAAGAGATAGGACGGCACGAACCTTGCCACTGGGTGCAGCCGGCTTGTCCCCCTCTCCAGCCGTGGCGGCGGGGAGGCCATTGACCTCGGCCACCTTGTTTCGCTTGGTCACCTCCTTGGCCAGGGTGCCGGCCAGCGCGGCGTCGTGGAAGTCCGGGTGCTTCGTGTTGATGTAAGACAATTCGATCGCCACAAGGTTTTCCACCTGCAGTCAAAGCCATTCATTTATTTATTTATTTCATTAGCCCCGAGCCTATTTACCGTATTTATTCGAATATAAGGCGAGGTTTTTTTCCAAAATCTGTAGTCTCAAAGTCATACCCCGCCCTATATTCGAAGCTCAGTATAGCAATATGACGATTTTTTTTCTTCTTTTTCTTGGGTCCTTCAACTGCCCCCTCGCCTTATAATCGTGACCGCCTTATATTCGAATAAATACGGTATTAATTTAGTTATCCTAAAGCCAGAAGCATTAGGGAGAAAGAAGAAATATATGAATAGGAAAAAGTAACAAAAAGTTGAAACTTAATTCTACAGATTAATATTTATTGAGACACAGAATATGCAGTGCATTTGGAACTGCACACTTGTTTGGGGGATCTCCAGAGCTCGGGAGTCGAGCTAAATTCCACTAAAGGAGCAAATTGAAACGTATATTTATAAACCCATTAAAGTCTATGAAGCGACGCAGGGTTTTGACCTTCATAGCGCAGTTCATTACTTTTGTTTTCCTCTTTGCTTTCTGAGCGTTTTTTTCTTTTCTTCTTTTCCTTATGCGTGCAAATGCCGACTTTTTGGAGATGTCAGCTCCTGCAAAGCGGCGCCGTTGCTCTGTAAAGTGCTGCCAGATAAGTGATCACGACAGCAAGTCTTCCAGCAGCCATGTCGCCCCGAAAGATGACAAGCTGAATGCTATTTAGCCAAAGGAAATCTGGCGTCCGCATAGTGACAAACGTGTCCAGGTATGTTCTCGTCGTTTCGCTCCGGAGGTTTTCAAGATTCGCACCGGGTGCACCGAACGTTTGCGACTGAGAGACAGCTGTTACGTAAAACACCTGGCAAGGGGCCAGATTATTACATAACAGCTGTCCGCAGAAGCCTTCGGAAGTCCGAATTCTGCGTTAGCCGACAAACTTTTTTTCTCGGCTTCCGAACCATCTTACGTAAAGATTGAATCTGTAGTGTACTAGTCCCTTCTTACCTGTAAAGTGTCAACCTCCCACGACAAGTGGTATTCTCTCTAAAGCCGATAACAGTGCAAACACACTGTTATCGTAAATCCTGGCTTGTGATTGCACCTTTATAGATCATCCTATTCGTTTTGCTGGAGATGCCAACGACGAGCAAAACAAAATCATTTGCATATTCCGCATACCTCGCAAAAGCACCTCCCCAGTCACCTTGCGAAAAGCGAGAAACACGGGGTCTGCACCGTACTGACTTCCCAGTCTTTTACCTGCTTTAGAGCAGTTTGTACCTGCTAGTAGGTATGTCTACTAAAACTGCAGCTTGAAACTAGGGGCAGTCCCAGAGAGAAAAGAGACAAAGTTGGGAAAGCTTGCTCGCCCTCCCCAATTTTTGAACTCCCTCAAGTGATTGTACCATTATAAATGCACCAACGCCTATCCCCCCCCCCCCCCCCCCCCCCCCCCCCCAAAAAAAAGAACTTTATTCGGTACGTAAAAGATGGTCTCATACATGCATCTGTGGGCAGGTAGGAAATCTTGCGCAAATTTATTCACACTGCATGATGAGCGCAACAGACTCGCACGAGATTTACAAGAAAATATCGGTGGTGACTTAAGTTTCCCTGAAATTCTGTACAACCGGTCGTTTGCAGGACCGAATCATCTATTTGAGCGCTGTGCATCGTTGTGAAAACACGTCCCTGTGCAAACGCAGTCCAACAACACGAAGCATAAAAACGGCAGATTTAGGACAGCAATCCGGTGTCCATTGTTTGATTAAAACGACAATTTTGTTTCGTCGTTTTGTCACCTTTTCGCAGTTCGTATTTAAAAAATCGAACAGTTAAAAACACTCTTGGATCTAAGCACACTATATCTTTTCCGTTTAGTTTCAATCCGAACTTGCGGCTTGCGGTTCCAAAACAACCACAACCACAACACGGCCGGTTTCGTCGGCGTGGTTAACGGGGTTGTCTTTATGCAATCTTGTAGTCACAGATTTCTGCAAGTGTGCCAAGCGCGTACTACAGTGTAGACCGCATATAACGTATGTCTCGGGAGTCGCGAAAATCCGCACTATAAGCGGTACCGCACTATAACCAAAACATCAATTTTTCAGGCCAAAATACATGCCATGAGACAACTTACCTTTGTAAAAGAATTTATTTTATGTTAGATGAAAAATAAAGCTTAGTTTGAGGAAAGTCTTTATTTCACCAGACTAGTACAGTTCTGTCTCAGGTGTGTCACACATTTTGAAAGAAATGAGCGGCTTTTGCCTGGCGCAGCCTTTTAACGGCGTCGCGGGTTGCGGACGGACGTTGCGAGCGTTCAGGATTGCTAACCCTAATCACTTTTCTCCGGAGATGAAAACGCGTGAAAATTCGCATCCCTCATACGGTACGCGCCAGTAATACCTTCAACTTAAGCACACGTATGAAATGCGCCAAATAAGAAATCTGGGCGATGTTCGAGGACACAAATGCTTAGAAATCATCACTGTAGTCGAAGTAAACAAACACGACGACACGGGCGTTTCTGCTGTCTTGAGAGCGCCGCCACGACATCGCCGCACGAGTAGGTGGATCTTCCCTTCTAGTACGTGCTGGGTTATCATAGCGACACACAACGAAAATTCAGTCAAGGATAGCGCTTTTACGCAGAACGATGAGATGCACGCCGTCTACGACGACTAATGACGACGACGATCACAACCGATGCCATGTTTGCGGAATAGAAGCAGCCGGCCCGCGACCGGCACAACCAGCATGCAACGCGCGCGAACACTTCTCCCCGACCTGCGATTGGTCTGTCGTTGCGGTTGTTTGTTTCTTTGTTTCCAATGCAGCGGAGGGACGCACGCACGTGAACGACTCGTGCGTGCGTCCCTCCATCGCTATGGCAACAGAAGCCTCTCTCTTCGCTTCTCCCCGCGTTTTCGAGCAACCTCCTTGCCCCACGAGTGCAGCATAAGTGCAGCTTGCGGCTCGCGCCGTCAGCGCCGTTATCTAGTGTCGCACAGGGAAGCGAGCTCGCTGATCCGGTCGTCGGCGCGGTCGGCGGGCCGTGCCAAAAGCCGCACTATAACCGGTATTTCCCTTCGTGCGCCTGCATTTTAAGCGGTATGTAATTACATGGAGTTCTATGGGAGGTGAACCGGTGGTTTAAAAAAACCGCGTTATACCCGGTCCTGCACTATAAGCGGTTACGTTGTAAGTGGTCTATACTGTATATCTTTTCCAATTAGTTTCGATCCGAACTTGCAGCTTGCGGTTCCAAAACAACCACAACCACAACACAGCCAGTGTTGTCGGCGTGGTTAACGGGGTTGTCTTTATCCAATCTTGTAGTCACCGATTTCTGTGAGTGTGCCAAGCGCGTACTACATTGACGCTTCTCGTGAAAAAAGTTAGGCACGGAGCGGAGACGTTTTGGTTGCGATTCAAAGGTGGTGTTACGATCGTGTTTAAATCTGCGTGGTACAAGATTCGTGGCGCTCATTACTGGTTTTTTTTTTTTTTCCTAGTCCGCGCGCTAGATCTTTGTGGAATGGTAGTACCAACAGGTGTTTCTTCCACGGTCTGTCTAACATCGCTTCGCTAACGTCGGGAGAAAAAACGGTTCCTTTGTTGCCTCTGCGCGTCTTTCGCCGAATCTGTCGAATAGTCGAGCGACCGAATACTAGGAATTCGATTCGCGAATCTAATCATTCGGGACCTTACTACTCAATTCGAATTTGTGTATTCGAGTACCGTATTTACTCGAATGTAACGCGACCACGATTGAACGCGAGAAGCGACTTTTCAAAGTGAAAAAAAAAAAAAAAGAACACGAATGTAACGCGAGTTATGTGAGGGGAAAAAAGTACCTTAAAAAGTACTACAACGTGGTCCGCGGAAGCCTTTTCGGCCGGGTTCACACTTGAAGAGCACTTCATGCTGGAGCCTCCACCCACGGATAGTCGATTCTGTCACATCTACCCGTCGAGCTGCGGCAGAGTTTCCGATTTCTTCAGCCGTCATAATTGCACTTCTTTTAAAGCGGGCGTGGTACTAAGCTTGTCGGGTGGCCATTTGCTCGAGTCCAGTCGCCGAAGCACGTAGCAGCAGCTCACAAAACACGGACAACACGGGCACATGGGTACGGTAACCCTAACAGAAAGAGAAAGTGTTGTGAAGGTAACCCGTAACCCTAACATGGGCGCAATGAGTCGCAAACAAGAATAAGATTGGATTGGCTGTTTCCAGCGTGTATATGTTGCCAGCACAAGATTGAAAGATAGCGAGATTTCTCGTAGCCATTTTAAAGAGCCTGTGCTGCGACACCGCCAAGGAAAATTTTAAGGCGTTACGATTATAACGCAAACCCACAAATTACGTAAGGGAAATTTGAAAAAAAACTCGCGCTACGTTCGAGTAAATACGGTATTTGTACACCCCTAGCGAAAACACCAAATAACAGTGGAAGCAACGGAACAATTGAACAATAAGAACATGGTTACTAACCCTTCAACAGGAGAGTGCAAAATCAAGAGCAGACGTAAGTGATGTACGGTGCTCAACAAAACAAAATGAACCGGCGGAGCAAGCGGCCTCGCGTAAAAAAGTTAGGTACGGCGTGGAGATGTTTTGTTTGCGATTCAAGGTGGTGTCACGATCGTGTTTAAATCTCTAGCGATGCCTAGAGTAATTCAAAGGCAGAGCCATATGGTTACTCTGCGGTAGTAACAGTGTATGCTAGCTGAATACACCAAACCAACTTCGTTATGTCCCACCGCGGTGGTGGCACCTCAGGCATACCTCCGGTCTTAAGTGTGGGCGGAAGTCGCCATGCGGGATGGCCATCCCTGTGTTGTTTTGAAACAAACCAGACAAAAAACTGCCTTCTCAACAAAACGCCGTGGCCAAGGCTATACCGAAAGAGCCGAGAAAGGGGGAAGATCCATTTTCACGCGTTTTCTGCTGGCCCAGTTCATCCGAGAACGTGAATAGGTGCCGTAAAAAAAAAAAAATCAGACACCGTCGCACCACAATTGCTTGTGCAAGAAGCACTTTGAGCTGAATTCACGGAGGCTTGTGGTCATCAGATTTGTGTCTTTCGTTCCAACATAAATGCGGGAAAACTGTCTACCGTATCTATTCGAATACAAGTCAACTTTTTTGTTTGGAAATGTTGTCAAAAATTAAGGGTCGATCTATAATTGTGACTAAGGAATTTCGACCTACATTTGCGACCAAATTTTGCGACCCCTCCGAGGGCATGGAGCTATCGAGTCACTGAGCAGGCGTCGCCGTAGAGCCGCGCCTTCTTCTTGTTTCAAAAAGCATTCGGCGCACGAAAACAACCGAAACAGCAGCAACCAACAACGCCAACCCTCCCCCCCGTGGCCGCCGCAATCGCGCACATACCTCGGGCGTCAGGTTTCACCATCACGCCATCGCACCTGTAGCTTTCCCTTCGCTGGGTAAGGGGGGGGGGGGGGGGGGGGGGGGACATGGACATGATGCACGATGCACCTTGCCCTCCACCCCTCTCTTCCACAAATACGCACAACAAAAAAAAAGATAGAGAGGTTATTTTTGTTTGTTGTTTGAGGCGGCTCGCGTGTTGCTCACGGCGACTCGCACGGCTTTGTATTTGGTCTTTCATCGCTTCGCCTGTTTCCACCTTCTTTTGTTTCTTCTTGTCGTCGTTTTACAACGGTGTCAGTGAAGTATTATTGCAAATTAGCGAGGATGTCTACCAACACGGCAGAGGGTTGGGAGAGTTGGTTAAGCATCTTAATAGGTGGGAACAGCGCAGGAAAAACCGACGAAGGACGAGTAGAAGAAGTGCACAGACACAGCGCTGACTAACAACTGAATGTTTATTTTCAAGCGAACCAGAAAGTAAACACTGGGTGTGGAAAGGAAAAAACACAGAAGCCAAAAAAAAAAAAAAGGAGGGAACCCGATAAAACAAGACACTACCACGCCGTATCACTTTCACACACGTCTGCCACAGTTCTTGATAAAAAACACTTCGTCAGCCCTCAAGTTAACCGACGGAGCACTGACGCATTCTTCCTCCCCCCTTGATAAAATATAAAAGGCCTCATCAATCTCCCGGGCAGTCTTGTTTTTGTTGCGCGCCAAGATCGTCAACTCATTGAACAGGGGAACGCAGCCGCACCTACTACAATGTACCGCAAGGTGGCCAGAGGTCACGGACGCGTGCTCCGGTTGCTATGGGTACTGCCGCGCGGCAGCGCGCGGCAGTACCCATAGCAACCGGAGCACGCGTCCGTGACTTGAGGGCTGACGGTTAACTTGAGGGCTGACGAAGTGTTTTTATCAAGAACTGTGGCAGACGTGTGTGAAAGTGATACGGCGTGGTAGTGTCTTGTTTTATCGGGTTCCCTCCTTTTTTTGGCTTCTGTGTTTTTTCCTTTCCACACCCAGTGTTTACTTTCTGGTTCGCTTGAAAATAAACATTCAGTTGTTAGTCAGCGCTGTGTCTGTGCACTTCTTCTACTCGTCCTTCGTCGGTTTTTCCTGCGCTGTTCCCACCTATTAAGATGTCTACCAAGCTGACGAAGCTTCGGACGACGATGGCATGTCCGGAAGTTCTGACAATGATTAAGTTTTTGGCATCGTTGTGTGATGTAACTGAGAGGGCTGTAAATAAATGTTTGTTCTTTCTTCTGCCTTAACTTTCCCCTGTTCCTTTTAAAAAAAGTCGGCTTATGTTTGAATTATTTTTTTTTATTCTCGGTGGGTTCAATAAATAGGGGTCGACCTATTCTCAGGTAAATACGGTAGTTGTGACGACCCCTCGCAAACCACTGAAGCGTGTATTAACGTTCAAACGGCCGTCTGAACGTTCAAACTGTTGACTGCTCTTTCAAACTCGTCTGCGCTTGTTCAGACGAAAGTGGGGCATAGATCAAACTTAGACCTGTTAATTCCAACAAGTGCAGGCGTCTAAAGACTTTTTGAAGGTTGTTTGGGGTAAGTAGGCTCAATGTAAACAGTAGATACAAGGAGATGTGGATTATTGTTACCAGTGGCCATCACCGACTTGTTATGCCCAATTCTGCTTGCAATTTTCAGCATCGACGTCGAGCATCGCAGCTACCGTCCACGCTTTTGTAGCCCGGGCAACGTCGCAACTAAAAATAGCGACCAGAATCTCATCAAGTGAATTGGGTTTTAGCATCCATTCTGGGGCATTTAGGTGGAATGAATCGCCGCACGGCGTAATGAGCCTCGTTAATTTTGCTCGGGCCACTGAAGTAGCAAAACATTGCTAGAAAGACGTAGAATCAACAATTCCATAGTGAAAAAGAGCAGGGGACTCACACTGACGCCAACAACGGCAGATTCCTTCCAATGGTTCGTTGATGCGGGTGGCGCTTCTTGCCCACGCAACATTACGCATGTGCAGTGTTGGTGGCGTGCCGCTAGGGGCACTCCGGTTTGTTAGTTAAACATGCTAGATCAACTGTATATGCTCCTCAGGCAGAAAATGTGCAATTACTATGGTGAGGCCAAACGCTCCGCTGGTCTTTTTCGTTTCGTCGAGCACCGTAGGTAAGTGATACCAAATTTGTCTGAAACATGAGGGATAAATAATGGAAAACAAAGTATTATAATAGGAAAATGGGCTGTAGTGTCCGTAACGCGTGACGAAAGACCATTTCCCGATGCTCCGATACCCGGAGCAGCCGGCGCAGGGGCACGTACCATGGTGTTTGCTGCGGGCAGGCGTCGCCGAAGCAGCTGCGTCACCACCTCGACGATGCACTCGTGAAGCTTGGGGAAGCGGAGCATCTCTTGCTGAAACGAAACGAGTCCACCGCATCACTGCGTCGGCCGTCGAAGAGAACGAAGCAAGCTCCGGCAAATTCACTTCAAACCGTCAGTCCCAAGAAGACGACTTCGAAGTCGCTACAATTCAAGACCTTCCTGCTTACGCCCCCCGACAAAAACCTGGAGACAAGTACTGAAATTTGATGCAACTGTCATGCCCGGTGGCCTTCATTACCAGTTCAAGGCCAGTGCCTTTCAAGGTACTTTGCAACGTGTACGCGGCCTGAATGCTGCGAGACAGCATTACACTCCTGCCGCAAGCAATGCCCCATGCTCTAACACTCCTAAGATGGAAGCTGCATGGATTCGGCAGGTAACAGGCCAAGACGATCAAAGTATCGCCAGGAAAGATATAATAGAGGACAATGGTTTCACCTTTTCAAAACGCTCTCGAGCACTATTCTTAAAAAAGACTGGAAATTTCTCTGGCGTTTTTGGTGAGCCATGCAGACTTGAAAGTTAATAGGCTCTAAAAGAATGGGTCAGGTGCTCTGCAAACACTTGCCGAAGGAGACCTGCCGAGGAATGACTTCACTTCAAGATGTTTCCTACTTCAACCACGTTCCTTCCTACTAAGGTCCCAAACAGTAGTGTAGGTTATTTCCGCGGCTAGAACAACACGGTAGGGGCGCAATGCTATCGATAGTACTAATAATACCATCGACAGTGGAGGCAGAGTCCATTTATCGATATAAAAAAAAAAGATTGATGGTACTATCATTAAAACTATCGATAGTATCAGTAGTCTACTTACTTAGATAAGGTACTGTCAATGGTGAACTCTATTTGTGAATAAGTGCCAATAGTTTTTCTTGAATGTGATACCGTATTTACTCCATAATGAACACACTTTTTTTCCCGAAAAATTGACACATATTGACATGTTCATTACATGGGGTAAAATTTTTGAATTTACACACTTTGTGCAAATGTCACATTAGATGCCAATATGACACGGCGAGGTACTGTGGCACGTCTCCAGTGATGGAGGCACACCCACGGCTGGTCGGGGGTGCGCCACAATAACCATGCTTTATAAATTGCAAACCTTTTTAGGGCGCTTTCGGGGTGCCTTCTGCTGAAGGAAAAGCGTCCTACGAAGCTCACTCAGCACGAAAAGCAACAACACTGCTCTTAGGCGATATATATTGCTAGTATCCGGCGGGCACGCTCAGGTATAATCTGCGACTACGCGTATAAGAACTCTTATGAAGTCTAACCCCCGACCACCGAAGCCCGCTTGCAGGAATCAAGTTTCATTCCCGGAAAGGCTACCAGACACTCTCAGCTTACAGCGCAGCGTGCACCTCTGCTGTGCCGTTCTGTTGCGGATTAAATAAACGCATTTACCCAGAGTATTTGAAATTAGGCCTAACCACTTTCACAATTTCACTGTCCGAAAGCGGACCACAGACGATGGCTTGTTTGTTGAAATCAATGCATCCGATAGGCGAAAAATGGCCGGGGCTCGGCAATTCCTCGACCCAAGCTTTGTCAAGTGTGCGCGACACTCGGTTTCACGGTTGATCATTTCAGTAACTACCACAACTAGGCACTTGCGGCCATTACGAGAGTGCCTTGGCTTGGCTTGACTTGGCATGACCACTTAACGGCAAAAGAAAACTGGCTTGGTGGCTTGCTAAATTGGACGCAATTCGAAGCTCGCGGATCCAGAAATTGGAGGTGCGTTGATTACAGGAGGGAAAACAAAAAGTCAAAACATTGATGCCCATTGGGGGGTGCATTCATTATGCGAGTAAATACAGCAGTCAACACTGGATTAATAACCCCCCGCATGTCTGTCACCGTCCCCTTTTTGAGCTTCACTTTCGTTTTCTTAAGTCAGATAGTTTTCTGAAAGTTTACAATCAATAGTTCTGGAAAACCTATCGATAGTCAATTTATTCATAGTTCCGCACCCCTAGAAGACAGTTCCCTTTTGTCCGAAACGGCCAAGGATTGCCAAAACAGATTTTAAAGCAGGCCGGCGAACCCACCTGGACCTCTGTGCCGCAGTGCTGGATGATGCGCTGCATCTCCTCGTGCACCAGCTCCACACAGCGCAGGCTCGGCTCCTCCAGGCGTCGAATCTGCCTTTTGACCAGCAGCTCAAAGGACACCTCGGGCACGAAGAGGGCCGGCCGGGGACCCTGGGAACGGACGCAGGGGTCAGAACGCCCTCGCGATGCTGCACAACCTAGTTTTGCGACGGACTTGCGCTTATGTTCGTTCCGACACAGAACGTCCATCCTTCCCCCCCTATTGTGGTAATGTGAAATATATTGCACGTTGCATCGCGTCACCTCCATGGCACGTAAGAAAGCCCTGCTATAGCTAGCCTTGGAGCGGGAGGTGAACAGAAAGTTTTGTGTCCCTTGCACTCGTGCTTCCCAACTTTGGCCCAGCGACCTTGTGCACTTTGAAGCACTCGCCTGTTCTCTTCCCCCTTGCCTGCAGCACGATCTGCCACCGTACGTCAGAGAGTGCACGCCGCCCCGTGACAACGTTCCAGACTCGCTTTCGCCGCCTGCGATGTCAGCGCAGATGGTTGGGCATCGGATTCACAACCGGAGAGACCCCGGTTCGAAACGGAGCGCTTCCACACTTTCTCTGGCGCTTTTTTATGCTAATGAATTTTTGTACGATGCTCCCCTGTTACAAATGTGTTACGGGAGTCTGTGTCACGGCGAGCTGCTAGGAGTCAGCCACGTAACGGTCCTCTTCAGCGAATCCATATTTTTGCGATGGACCAAACTCTCAATTTGCAGCCAGAACAAGTGGCCATGTGGTCTGATCTGCAGCCAACCCAATATTTATCGTAGCCAAACGCAGAGGTTGACAAAAGAAACAAGGCATGGGCTGACTTCCAAACGTTGTTAGGATCCGGCTACTTCCATTGTTGCAGCGATTGGACGCAAGCTACTACCCGAATGTTTGTTGAGTCATTGATTGTCACGAGTGTGAGTCGACTGCTCTCGCAATGTGCACGTCTAATCTACGAGCCGCATTCGAGTACCGTCGCATGGGGGACAACGTCAACATTGCAACCCCTGTGCCACGTCCTCAAGTTCTGCAAAGACTAAAATAAAACGCTCGCTTTCATCAAAGAAGTTATACCGCAACAAGGAAGTTTCTGGGTCAGTGATGCTTCATGCCAGAATACCTGGGTCCCGTTCGAGCCAGTAAGCTCGCGTAAAGTGAAGAAATTACAACTCCAACTCAATGTCGTTCCACTTTTTAAGAGGAACAATATTTTAAGTGGAACGCAAATGAATCAGCCAACTTTCTAAATATTAATTAGTGTGCAAGCCCTCCAATGCAAACGTTGAAGAGCCCATTGCAAAACATCCCGTCGAGGTAACCTCTGTATGCCCAATTTTTTCAGCCTTAAAGATAGCATGCGAGATGTAGACAATATCACTAAGGGTCCTAAGCTCACAGTTCAGTAGTGAGAATTTGCGTGGAATCTTACTAAAATATCCCGCACCATCTTTAAAGTTTCAAAAAGATTACACACAAAGGCTACCTGGATGGAAACAACACGATAGAATGTTTCTCAATACGCATATCAAAGGTAGTGGTCTGGCACTGGTGGACTGTTTGGAGACCATGGAGCGGTTTGTAATAAGGCATGCGGTCAACTACAAGAAGCAGTCTTTTTCACAGCAATAAATTATTCACCTTATCGCGTCATGTGAGTACTGTAATATCTTGAGATAGCCCACCTAAAATTGAGAGCAAATCAGCTGAAAACAAGGAGTGGGCTAACCTTCGGTGTACAACCAAGAAAAGTTGAAAAAAGGCTATTTTTAGATTATGTTTTTGAGCCAAACTTGATATTGCGGCGAGTAAGAGTGAAGCAAAGATGACTGTACTTCCCAGTTAGCAATGTTCGCTTATATCCCGCCATAGCTACCAACCGTAGAATACCGTGCATTCGCCCATTCCACATTAAGTGCCCATATCCAAATGTTTAAGATATGAAAAAATGTGTGCAGTACATTTATATGTAAAATTGATGATCGGACAAGCGCCCATCCCCCATTTTTTTCGCAATTATCTCTCAATTTTGAGTGGGGGCTTGCCCGGTATTTTAGGGTAGTTGTTTAAAAATTAAACCAGCGCAAAGATAAGAACAAGAACAAAAAGGCAGACGAACAAGGCGCTGTTCGTCTACCTTCTTGTTCTTGTCCGTGTCCTTGTGCTGTTTTAATTTTTAATCATGAAATACCAACAAGCCCAAACTTCTATGTTGGCCTACCTAGTTGTATTTACGCCAAGGTCATCATTGACCCAAACACTACGAATATTAGGAGTGGGCTATCTTTCGGTGTTTAAAAAAAAATAGCAAATCAAGCTAAAAAAAAGGTGGTTTATATTTCGGGGGTAATATCTTTCAGGATATTACAGTAGTCATTCGTTAGCATTTTAATGATTTTTTTTTTTTATTATTTATTTGAAATACCATTGGTCCTACACAGGACCAAGATAGGAGTGGATTTGCACAACACAGAAACACACACTCAAAATGCACGGTCATGACATGTGCTGGGAGCTCATTCCATTCTCGCGCTGTTTGCAAAAAGAACGAGCACCTAAGACAGACTTTGGAAAACGTCCATATTCCACATACCGAGTATGCTTGCTACGGATTATACGGAACATGCTCTCATTGATATACTGTTGCTTTTTTACAAGAACCAGGTTATTTATTACGTTATCAAAGAGATTAATGGGGCACTGACAGGTCCAAATAATACTTTTTTTTTAATCCAAAACGATTAAAAACAATGCCTGGGCATTACCCTCGAAATTCGAAACTTGGGAATTCAGTATTTGTAAAGTAAAAAAACAATTTCCGAATGCCGAATTCAAAGTTCCCGCGCGAACCCCGCCACAGCAGTGACGTCAAACATTGAGCGGCCCTGCGAGTCGACTTTCTTTCACGCCTCCGCTCCGAATGCACGTGTGTAAGCATTGTCCGCCATTGCCGCCGCAACCTGAAGCAAGGGGGTGAGAAGTGGGAGAGAACGGCGCTGGAAAAAACCGGCTCCCTCTGTGCGTGCCATGCCGCCTGCCTATCACACGAGCAGACGACGCTTGATGTCTAGCCGCTTCTGCGTGAAAGGCTGCTCCGGCAGAGTCACAACCAAAACAATGATACAGACACCAAACCCAGTTGTTTTGACGATTTCCTTTTCAAAGCCTGAGAGGTCATTGGGCACCTAAAAAACACCACATTGTCCCATTCCCCGACTCACCAATTAGCCATGTTTTCCAAGGCAGGATAAAACTCCAGGGGGCGACATCACAACGGATCCCGAGTTTTGCAACTAAATGTTATAGAAATGTCGCCATACAGGCAGATTATGGTGCATGGAATGCGTTTCCAACTAGTGTGTTTAGCATCCCATTCCACCTATGCGTCAGGAGTTGTCCCAAAGTGACAACAAATTACATCAGAAATACCGGAGCGACGTACCGTCGAATGTCGCGATACAGGCGGCTGGTTGCAGAAGTTTTGGCAAAAAGCACGAGCAGATACGAGCGTCGCCGTCGTCGCGGCTTCCCGATTCCCGGCTGCCAAAGCTTTCGTGAACCGTCGAGCCAGAAAGCAACCCGCAGCAGAACAGACGTCTGCTACAGCTGCCACTGCTGCCGCTACAGCAGGCCGGTGATGGCACAGCCCTTTTACGACATCGTCAGGCGGAAATCGACGGTTCACTTTTTTAGACGTGGTAAACGCACCGGTCGGATGCGTTATGGGAACCTGCATCGGACGCCCGCCAACGAACCTTCCGCGTTCACTGGGCTTAGAAGTACCCCACTCACCGTGGCGTTGCGGATGGCGGTGAGGATGTCGAGGGTGCTGAGGCCCCCCAAGGGGTGGATCGAGTCCAGGGTGCGGCCAAAGGTCTCGTGGAAGATGTAGCAGATGCGGGCGCCCCCACACAGCTCCGTCGTCTCGATGTTGCGCGCCGTGCCCTCGATGGTCGAGCAGTACGACGACGCAAACTTGGTGATGATCTGGAGCAGCGTCTGGCCCTGCGAGCCGGCAGGAAAAGGTCATCGTTACGAGATGTTGATCGGACGAGTTTTTGGGTTTCTTAAAGCGATGCCAAACTCCACGAGAACGTTTCTTTTGAGTGCTCAGATACGACCGTAGTAAGGTGGTAAGTTGGGCGAGTTGGTAGTGATTGAACGAGCAGCTGATTGGTCCTGCCCGCCTGAGCGGGAGTCTGTCACTCGCGAGTGGCCGACGAACGCCGTTCGTTGTCCGACCATAATTGATGAGGTTCGGTGGCGCCGTCGGCTGTCTGCGATGACGGTAAGTGCAGCGATCTTTGATCACTTCTTTAATATGCAAATCGGCCGAGCACGGATGTACTTGTACCCCGATAGAAGACATACCTGTATCACAAAAAACGCTTTGCCCCAAAAATGGCCTCTTTTTTCACGGAATGTTTTGGTTGTGAGACGTATTTTGAATACCGCGACATGCTGCTATTTGATGCTTCTGTAGAACATGTCATAAGGAAAGAATGTTTTGGAATTGCTCCTCACAGTAAATGAATCTCTCTATGTAAACATGGCACAAAAAGTTTTCTTGAGAAAAGAAATTCCTAAGGGCCACTGAAAAAGAAGAAAAAGTATTTTTTTTAAACAATTTGTTTAGGACTCTCGTTTTAAAAAATAAATTTGACAAAAAACATTTTTTTTAGAAGCAATATTAACGGCGCGAAACATAATTTAGTCGGTAGTCACCTCCCTTCCACTTGTTTTCTCTCTTGGCATTTTGGGCACGTGAAGGAAAGAAGCTGTGGCCATCACGTTGGGGTGGAGAGAGAGTATGACCATGTCGATGAGGTGGAATGACTGTACAACCATTCATTCCGTGACATCGGGAACTTTGCACGCAAAATTCAGATGCAACTGAAATAAATCTCGCGCCGTCAATATTGATTTAAAAAAATATTTTGCGCATAAACTTTATTTTTTGACACATGTGTTCCAACCACACTGTTTAAAAAAACACTTTTTTTTCTTTTCAATGGCCCTTTAAGCACTTCACAAAAAAATCGGCAGCTTCTTTGATCACTCACAACACAGCCTTGTGGTCACTGAAGTATGTAGGAAAGGGAACACACTGCACACACGAGTTAACACCCTGCCCAAGATTATATTGAGACGAGTACCATTACGATCGCTGGGTTGCTTTACATCCGACAGTGCTACACACCAATCGAGTTCCACGGTGAGGGATGTGCGCCGGCATACCCTGCCACACGTTTCACAGCAAAAGCACGCCAGAAGGCAGCACGTGCACTGGAGATCGGGCACTTGAAAGAGACGACCTGTTGTTCTCACCTAGCAGTGACTTATCGCTGTACAAGATTTCTGAGCGTGCAGGGTCCCCCTAAGCCACAAACTGGGACCAAAAGACCGACTTGCCTGGTCCTGCACGGCTTCCCCGTAGGAGGTGAGCAGCGACTGGAACTGGGAGATCATCACGTTGACGCGCGTCTTCAGCTCGGGCAGGCAGTCCCGGATGTGGTGCATCAGCAGCTGGACAACGGCGACACAACACTTTACCACAGCGCTGGCCATCTCATTTCCTCTCCCTCAATTCAGCGGAAGGTTAGACTCAATGTTTAAACTGCCGTGAAGTACAAAAGAGAATGCCACGTCATAAATAGCCGTTCATCATTCTCACCAACACCAAGACAAAAAACTGGAACATATTTTAACTGTCACTCGGACCTTTGGTAAGTAAACTAATCCAAAGAACCTGGACAACAGAAAAAGGCTCAAGCCATTACAAGGTTTTGGTTTTTATTTGCCGGTTCAGAGTGAGGCAAAGACTTCCTTCAATATGTTTGGAACGAATTTACTACTCAGCCTGCCTATTATTGCAAAATATGGTGTTCCAGCATGCAAAGCTGATTTTGAGATTTAGTTAAGGTTGGTTAGATGCATCTAGTCCCATAGAGTTCATATAACAAATCTAGCAGAAAAGGGTTGCTATTTTCCAAAGTATTTCGGATGACTCGAAATGGCAAGGAATAGGGGGCTAAAAATGGTGGTCCCCGATTGCTGGTAACCCTTTAATATACACAAAGCAGCAGCAAAATATCACTGGCAAGGTCAGTACCTCGTCTCTTTTTAGCTTCTTTTTTATAAGAAAGACACGCATCATGCAAGCTACTACTAAGAAAAATTGCCCCTTTTCCACACTTCTGTTACACCGCATAACACAGAAAGCGATGCAGTGTAAGGATAATGCAATCACAGCACCGCCGTTTCTGTTGTAGCGGCAGCTCCAAGAACGAGACATACTGGAACGAAGAAGATAGAAGAGTCGCGTCCGGCCGTGGATTTCTAGTAAACAGCCCAAACTAGAAAGCGTGCTGAAGTAGTAATCATGAAGAGGAAGGAAAAAAGAGTGCACACTTGACAGGGACAAAAGCCTGGAGCTCACTTTTATCGTCTGCTAGAAATAGAGCTTCTCTCAACGGTTCATCCCATAAAGTAGACAAACAGTGGTCTGTAAAAGGTACTTAAAGCCGTGGTGCTGAATTTCGTGTAGGGCACCCAACAGGCCAGCCTGGGCCACAAATCAGACACCAGTTTTGCATTCGGCTGGCGCTCGCGTTTAATCAGTAAGGACACGAGCTACATGGGAACGATGACGCAGTACTTGCACGACAGTCTTCCATAGGAAGCTGGAAATGGTTAGCTGCCGGCCATGTAACACATCCCGCATGATATGATTGTGTTGCGTGTACGTCTCGACAGCCAGAAGTTAGTCAGCCGCAGTGGGTGCCTGGTGTCTTGGCTGTAGACAAGACACCTTAATTGACGAGCAAATGTGTCGTTTGCCTTCTTTTTTCCACCTTCTGTCGCTCCATTTCTCTCTCATTTTCTCATGACTTCAGTAGTTAGGATTTTCTGTGCTCCCATCTTCACTGCCCTGTCTGGCCCAGGTGCGTAAGAGACACCCTCTTTTGCAAGTCCTGCAAGGTCAGGATCACATTTGCTTCCATCTCTAGATCACTAGCGCCGTGGGAGCGAAAGCTCAAGCTACAGATCCGAGGGATCCCGGGTTTTATCCCCACCCCTGCCCGGTTTGATCCGGATGAGCATCGTGCCAGTGTCCGGTCACGTATCATTCGTGCTCGATACACGGTAAAGATTACAGGCTAACAGCTACTGCACTCGCTAAATGTCTCACTTGTGACGTAGACTCCAGACGCACACGGGCAGACTAACATCAAGCTGTCCACAATGCAAGATATATATAGGTGTGGACACACAGCACGGCTAATGCTGCGACATGATCGACCAGATAAAGTACTAGAGGCTTGCGATTGAGTAACCTATGTCGACAGCATCCCATGGCCCCATAACATTACTAATGACAAAGTAAAAAAAAAAATTAAGTATCTCCTTGCCATGGCACATGTGCACGTGTGATTTCCACTCGGCGCATCTGCTCCGACCTTGACAGGCGCAGGCTCAAACACTGCACCAGAAATCTCTCCGCTTTGAGGCGTTCATAAAACTGTTCTTACTGCCACTGAGGCACGAAACTAGGGTCAATGACGAAGCTGCCAGGTCCTACATGAAGTGGCATACCCAAAAAACTGCTTTAAAAACACGCATGTCTCCCATAGGAAGTATTCCCTGGCGGTCATAGCTGTGTGCACAGCTGCCGAGCGCGTGCCAAAGGCGAGCTTCCGCAGTTCTTTTGCAATGTGCATTCCGCACGATTGCCAGTCTTAGCAGGCTATTAATGGGAGCTCATTCCGAGCATGCACTCCAAACATCGCCTTCAAATGTGACGTCCAGTGAAAAGCATGGAGAACCGGGCCCGCGACAGGCTAGCACTAGCCACTTATCCAAGAGTCGTTCGGTGGCACCGCTTGCAACCAAGGCGAGGAGAAGACTTTAGCTTGCAGCTGCGACGCACACGACGTCCACACCTATATTTATCTTGCGCCATGAAACTGTCTGAATGTACACACGGCGCAATAACTTTAATGGCGGCACGTGCTCTCACCCGGTTCAGGGTCTTGGCGAGGTACTCTGTGCCGTTGCGGTTGGCGAGGGCGGGGTACTTGCGCTGCAGGAAGAGGGCCTCGTCCCGCAGGGCCTCCTCGATGGGCTTGCGGTCCTTGATGTCCTGCTGCGAGCGGTTCACCACCCCCACAATGCCCAGCTTCACCGGGATCACCCGGCCGCAGAGCACGTCGATGGCGTCCGTGCCCGCGTCCATCAGGTCCAGCTTGGTGATCACCGCCAGCGTGCGGCGCCCTACAAAAGAAGGGGGTCCGAAGCATTCCGTCAAGTCCGCGAGTCTACACAGAGCACACTAAGACGTCTACACGGAGCGAGTGTGGGACAGTCTTGTATGGCTACTGTTGGTGCTAAGCCTGGAGGGTCCATCACCGAGAGACAGCACTATTCATTATATGGTGACTGCAGCCTCTTCCATTGCTTTCTGTGGTTTTGACTGGGTACAGCTAGTGACTAAACAAGCTACGCTTCAGAGAAACGACACTCTGGTTGTGTAGGTGCTCAAGATCAATGTTGCAGTTTGTGAAGAATTCACGCCCGATGGACGACGCGGATGTTTTCTTTCGTTCTGTTTGCCAACACCGTTTCCAACAGAGCAGAACGTCACTGGTGAAATACCACTCAAGAAGTCACAATTAACAAAACTTGCAGACGGCGCCCGTGTGGCTCCAAGCACCAGAAGAGCGGTGGCCACGACCTGCTGGCACGCAAACACATGTCGCACGACGCAAACGGGCGAATGGACGATCTGGTGGCATCAGGCAAGGGGAGAAAAGAGTACCAATGCTCCAAGTGCAGAGGCCAGATTCCCAAAACTTTCTTATGACAAAAAAGTTCGTAAATTTACCTCACGACAAAGTTACAAACTTCTGAGTATTCCCGAAGCAAAATGTTCGTAAGTTTTCTGTAAGTTACGACAAAAGCCGTAACTTACACAAAACTTACGAATATTTTGCTTCGGAAATACTTAAAGGTTCGTAACTCTGTCGTGAGATAAATTTACTAACTCTTTTGTCGTAAGGAAGTTTCGGGAATGTGGCCTCAGGTTTCTACCGACTATAAATACAGCAAAAGAAGCGGCGAACCGGTACAACAGAAAGTAAAAAATTAAACGAGCTTAATCACGCTGACAAAGACAGAGGAGCGCAGAATCTCTCCCAGACAAATCACGCTCCATTTGTGGCTTGTGCTAGATTTTCACTCTTTTTAATATCATCTAGTAATTTACTTATTATTTTCCTTTCATTTATTTATTTTATATTTATTTTCCAGTTTTATTTATTTTCTTTTATAGTTATTTTGTTTATTTATTTATTATTTTCGTCCAAAACCTGCCATTCTCGTTAACACGTTTGCATCCAAAGAAGATAGCAAGCCCCTACAGACCAGCTAGTAGCTAGTGGCTATAGCATCTGACTGCCACAGCACCGACCCCAAATTGAGCCCCGCCGGGGCTTAAACTTTATATAAAAACTTTACGTATAACCTTTGCCATCCTTAACCTACCCAACGTGTAACTCGTTCATGACACTTGCAAAGCCACTCGTTCATGACAATTATGTCGTTCACGACAATTTTCCTGCATTGTGCGAATATTCAATATATTAAATAGTTTAGAATAATATGCTATTCGATATCTGCTTCGAGATAAACTGTGCTATTCACATTTTTTATACTCAGTCTACCTTTAAGCTGAGAGTGCAGCCAACGCCCAAAGCATCAGAGCTCGAGGTCGCTGCTTTAAAGCGTTCTTCCGTAAAATGAGCGCTCGCGCTTGAAATGCATGTCCCAAAGCCAGGAGTGCAAGCTAGCTCGCGCTTGTAGCTTTGGCTGCATTCGCAGCTCAAGATGAGCAAAGTAAAAGTGTTGATCGCAGAGGCTTAGCTCTGTTGAGTGCGCTTCTTTTCGAGCACCGGTGCACTGCAGAGAAGCAGCATCCGTAAAAGCGAGCTCCGCGGGTGTTGCTTCTCCGCAGTGCAATGGTGCTTGGTAAGAAGTGCACTCAGTAGGGTAACACGCCACAATCGATACCTGGAAAAGTATGGATATCGAAAGTGTGTTTAGGAGAAAAACACACTTTCAAAGCAAGATGGTGCATGCGAACGCCTGGTGCATTTAGAAAAGGAAGGGGAACTTTGTGAATATTGATGTATACAGTGGAATAAAATTTTCAAAATTAAACTGTGGCTATTATGCAAGAGTACATGTTAGGCAGAGATGTCTTGACAAGCCGGGGCTAAATGCCACACGCACCGTCGGGGTCCACCTCCCGAGCCAGCTTGACCGCCTCGGACGTGGCAAAGTCCGTGTTGGCCGCCGTCACCGCCAGGATCAGGGAGTTGGGGTTGCCAATGTACTTGAGTATCAGCGACCGGATCTGGGTCTCTATGTCCTCCGGCTGGTCTCCCACTGGAACCTGGGGAGGGAGGGGGGATCACGGGGCTGACAACGAGACTACTGCCAAATCCCGATCTGACACCCACCAGCGGCGAGGAGAGACTAAAAACCCGCATGTAATAGCTTCGTTTGATTTACCCGCACCTCCTGCACCAGTGAAGAAAAGTGTAGGGCAATGTACTTCCGGTCAAATCTCAATACTCATACCCGAAGTACACTGCCCTACACCTTCTGCACCGGTGCAGGAGGCGCGGGTAAATCAAACGAAGCTAATATTAAGCTTTTTTCCCCCAATTTTTGCCCGCAAAATTTGCTCTCGTATTATCGTTGGATGCTCATGATTCTAAGCTTTTGCAGGGTACGTGTGAAAGAGGGTTTACGCAGTTTTGGTTTTTAGCAACCGTCATCGCCGGCAGCAGCGAGTTGCGAGAATGCGTCACCACCCAATCCCATTGGCGTGCGTACGCATTCGCTGAAGTGTTTTCGTCTCTAAGCCGTGTGATGCAATCGTAGCGGAAGCGGCGCTGGGCTGCACTGAAAAGGAAGGTTATCTCAGTGGCCGAGAAGATCGGCAAAGAAATGGCGGGACGAAAGTTAACGGTGAGCGAAAGCTGCATTCGTGGATGGAGGAGACCGAAACAAGTTATTTTATCGTCCAAGGGAGCGAGAAAATGTTTCCCAGGGCCCAAGTAAGGAAAGTTTGCAGAGACCGATTTCGGCCAGACACGGCTCGTGAAGAAACAATGTGCTCTGGACTTCACCTTAAACGCCGAGCTGCTGCAGGCAAATACTACGAACCTGCATGTTCCTGAGTTGCATTATACGTGAATCAAATTTACTTTGGTTTTTTTGGCAGGTCTCATATTGCATTTTGTATTATACTGGGTGATTCAAGGAGCGGCCAGGCTCTTTGAATCGACTGCAAAATTCAGTTTCTTAGCCTATCGTGCTACGACTTCGTGCAGAGTTGCTCACAGATGGTGCATTCTTTTTTTTTTTTTTTTTTGTAAAATTTGCAAAGAGCGAATTTACCTGAGGAAAAAGTAAAAAAAGAAAAAGGCTTAGCTCCTATGGAAACGCAGCGAAGCCACCGGTCTTCAAACAATACGGCGCCACTTCGCACGGGAGACAAGAGATGGCACAAGCGGTCGCAACACCAACTGCCGCCAACGAACGAGCATATGTCGCCGAGAGCTGGCGTGTTTAGCAAACAATCGTTTCGACTCAAAAGCGGTGCCCATTCCGCAGACGGTGACAGTCGCAGAAGCAAAAACAGGCGCGGTATCAACAAGGAATTGCAAAGCAGATGACATCAGTACCCTGAAAAAACTGTCAAAATATCCCGACAAACCATTTTTTATTCAATTATCTGTCAATTCAATGTTTATTAGGAAGGATAATAAAATTAAGCATTGGCAACTGATATTAAAAAAGCCCACGCCACTTTTGAGTCTAAACGATATTCTGCTAGAGATGCCGGCTCTCGGCGCAGTATGCTCGTTCGTTGACGGCACTTGGCGTCGCGACCGCTTGAGCCATCTCTTGTCTCCCGTGCGAAGCGGTGCCTTATTGTTTGAAGACCGGTGACTTCGCCGCGTTTCCATAGGAGCTAAGCCCTTTTCTTTCTTTACTTTTTCCTCAAGTAAGTTCGCTCTCTGCAAATTTTACAAAAAAAATGCACCATCTGTGGGCAACGCTACACAAAATCGTCACGCGACAGGTTAAGAAACCGAATTTTGCGGTCAATTTTAAGAGCCTGGCCGCTCCTTGAATCCCCCAGTACAGTCTGAATTGGTTTTAACAGACCTTAATAGTGACCAAGATTTCAGTCTGTTGTAAGAGGAGTAACGCTGTATGCAGATACAGTAAAACCTCGTTATAACAAAGTTGAAGGAGCGGTCGTAGTTATTTCGTTATAACCATTAGTTTGTTATAGCCAATGTCCATTTCTCCATACTATTAGCAAGCAAGGGGAATTATGATTGCTTTGTTATATCCATTAGTTTGTTATATCCCATTTTGTTATAACGAGGTTTTACTGTACAAAGTTGAAACAACGGTACAAATGGGAAAACTAACCAGACTTCAGAAAGCAGCATGTTATATCCAAATGCCTGTAGTAACCAGGTCTGTTGTAATGAGTTTATACTGCATGCAGGTTTGCTTTTACGGTAAATGGTTAAAAATACTGGGCAATCAATCTCTAGAAAGGAGGAAAAAAAATTTTATGGAAAAAAGATTATTGTTTTTGTCTTATACTAGTTGATTGTAATATGTTAGGTCAGAGGACCTGGGTACAGACATTGAGGCATGATTGAGCAAACCTTGTTGTGAAAAATGTATTAGCTTATCATTGAGGGGTGGTGGAAAAATGGTGCGCAACACCCGACGGCCAACGAAGTTGTGTGCTCCTTGTGTCCTAGGGTGTTTGGGGTGGTGACATCGCATTGCATCACATCCTAATGTGGAGTGTAAACAGTACTATCACTATACAAGGTGTACTATTTTAATTCAAACAGACCTATTAAAAAACTTTCAGCCTTTCCACTCTGGTGAAGAAGAAAGACCAGCGAAGCTGTACTATGATGGGACTACTTCTTGGACGACCTCAAAGACGACGCCTAGAGGACGACATCTAGGACGACCTCAGGGACAAAGTCTAGGACGAGCTCAAGGACAACCTCAAGGACGGCTTCTAGGACGACCTCGAGGACGTCTAAGACAACCTCAAGGACGACTTCTAGGACGACCTCAAGGATGACTTCTTGGTCGACCTAAAGGACAACCTCTCAGACAACCTCAAGGACAATGCCTAGGACGGCCTCAAGGACGGCTTCTAGGACGACCTTGAGGACGACGCCTAGAGAAATTCAGCCTTTCCACTCTGGTGAAAACCGGAGTGGAAAGGCTGAAAAGGTTGCCGTCATCTATGAGCAAGGCCAGCAAGCCAGTTGTCTGGTTGCCGCCGTCGCTCATAGATGGCGGTAGCTGCCCAGAGTTTTGTGTCAACATTTCTTTACGGGGGGACACAATCTTCGGGAAACTAGCCTTTATTTAACAGCTCCACTGTAAAATGCCACGAAAGGTAGATTGATCCAGTCCATGCAGAATAGTTATACGGTCAGGGAGACAAAACATAGACTGCCCATCATCATGAAAGGTCAATTCAGTGGCTTTCAACGACGTTCAACAAGTTTCGAATTGGTGCAATTTGTTTGTCTTTGCTAAGTTAAAGTTAATTAACAAATTTCAGTTAACTATTCCTTAGCATCCTATATTTTGTCCCCTGGCCGTACAACTCGACTGCACAGACCGCACTAGTGTACCTTTCACGACTCGTTTTGAATGAGTCTGCTTGAATTGAAATTAAACACCCCGTACGTCTGTGGAGCAAAGTGCGAGCGTTTGCTGGACGAGCATTTACTCCTTGTTGGTGGCAGGGTGCTTCCAGAGCATGTTCCTGGAGGTATCTTGCCACCAGTGGTGGTCACCGCAGTCACCGAGCACCTGGCGACCGTTTCCTTGCCACAGCTGACCTTGCAGCATCATAAGCGCACAAGCACTCCGTGAGTGTTTTGTTTGAAGGTTCCGCGTTCTGCGGTAGGCCCGTGAGTGCACCATTTGCACCAACGTTGGTTCGCACAGTGTGCAAGGCCACGAGATGCAGTCGATTGAACAAACGGCTGACAGAACGCAAGGAACGCAGCGGTGCCGAGTCGGGCGAGCGCGTCGGCATGTTGAAAAACAAAGAACAGAAAGTAAAGAGCAAGCGCATTGGGTGGGAATGCTGAGTGTAGAGAGCTCGCTCTTTTAATGCAACTCGTTTTAACACATTCTGCATTAAAAGGAGCAATAAACACGGGGCACCTGCTACAAAGCACGTGACATGGGAACTGACACTGCAGAATGTGGACACAGCAAACTCTGGTTCCGTAGTGTGGTAAAGATTTTGGAACTCGGTGCGAACTCGATTGTCACCTGTACAAATACCTCAAATTCAGCAACTGACACGATTCTCGCGAAGACGTCCGACGAGAATCAGGAGTATGGTTTGTTCTGGAATCGCTTATGTACGGATATTTAGCTAGAAAAATGGTATGAGTGATCTTTTTGGGGATGGCATTCACACATGATTTCATGGTGCTCCCATCTTAATGTTCGCTGTTGGCTCAAAATGTAAAACAAAATTGAATGTACTTTTTCTCCATACTTTGCCTATGTTGCAAGCTTTTACGCAATACATTTTAGAGCGCAGCTCTTAGGCGCCCGTTTCCGGCTTAAGCGGTGTCGCAGTCCGCGTAACCGTGAGGTCACGTGACCCCCCCCAGGTCACGTGACACCCCCCTCCCCCCGTCACGCGACACCGCCAGGTCATGTGACCCCCCCAGGTCCGGGGTCACGTGACCCCCGTGAGGGGAAAAGGAGAAAGGAGGGGAGCAGGGAGGATGAGCAGGGGGGACGCATCCGAATTTCCATTACTCCGAAAAGTGATTTTAAAAGACTTTTATCTCTTGTCCCTCGGTCGGCTTCGAACCGGAGCCCTTTTGTTCAGGAGTAGCAGGCAGGATCACGAGTGAGGAGGAGGGAGGAGGGGTATACCCTCCCCTCCTCCTCCTCAAGAGCTGCGTTCCAATTCGGCGTTACAGGGAGTTGTAAATGGCTTTCATTTTTTTAACAATACCAATACCTGTTAAATCAAATATATTTACGAGCCTACTTATGCGTCAAATAGAAGAGATAGTTTAAGAAAAATTTGTTCATTGAATGCAGAATCAATATTTTCAAATGCCCTTTTTTCCCCTTGGTCTACCGGAGACTGAAATAGCTTGCCCATTAACACAGTAGAAACGATACTGCCAGAGCTCTGTTTTGACAAAGTGCAAGCATATGTTCTAATACTTTCCCCTTTAAAATCGTCGCATTTTACCCAAGATAATCTCGCGTTTTCCTGTAACGTACGGTTTATCTTTCACGTATATGTTCCTCTTGCTACAGGGATGCCTTTGAGGCAATTAGCTATCTATAAATAACCATTGTGGTTGTTTTGGGACACTTTGATGTGCCGTGATTTTGTGTGGACCTGTTTCAATCTATTTTGCTGTTTGACTTTTGAAGAAATCTGTCAGGGATGCTCACAGAAACACATGACACGGGCTATGTTGGTCAGCTTCATACTGTGAGGCAGGCAGGTATCCTCACCTACCGTCATGCATTCCGAACGTATGTTGTCTAATAAGTGTTGCCATCTATTGTTACGTGTTCCACCTATTGTCAAGATTGTTATAATAAAAGATACCTCTCCAACATGCCTTCACAATGAAAAGTATCAAGGTAAGTTCAAATCTTTTGTAGCAACACAAGGACACGACAGCTCTAACACAACTCACTCAAACCACTCCAATGGTACAGAGGTAGAGTGCCGGTCTAGGAAGCGAAAGATTCGAGCTTCGATTCCTGGCTTTTTACGCAAAATTTGCTTTGGGGCTGGCTTCCGAGTCTAGAGCGTCATCCGACATAATCCCTAGGATTAAGATGAGTTTACATTTCTTTACAATATCTGCGATTATTGTGTCTAAGTACAGTTCAATTTCATCGTTGTCTCTTTCTTCGCCCTTTACCCGGTAGTTTTTGACAATTTTTTTCGTGGAGACAGATGACAGGAGCAGAGGGAAACTTGGATGTGTTATATTGATTTTGTAACGACTTTTCGCAATGTTCGGGACTTGGAAAAAAGCCCTAAAACACCTTCGACGCTAAAAGTGGATGGCTGGGCCCGCGAGCACACCTGTCCAACGTAACACACACCTCTTCTCCCAAATTTAGAAACAAAAAAACCCACCTTCGTAAGTCCAGGCAGGTCGACCAATCCCAAGTTCACGACGCGGTTGGAGTAGATCTTGAGACTGATCGGCTCCGGGCAGATGCCCTGTGGAAGAATGTCGATTAGCACGGCGACAGAAGTGCAACCTGTGCCCAATGGATTTAGGTCACATGTCTCCATCAAAAGTTCCAAATAAAACGCGAAATTTTCCTATAACTTGGTGCAGGGTCTTTTTTAGATGAAGAGCGAAAAAGTGTTTTTGTGAGCCACTGGGGCACTTTACTAGACAAAACAGAGAATGAGACCAGTAAGAATGAGTTTCTTCATTCTATTTTTCTGAGGCTAAATTAAACATTCCATGTACGCACAACGTTTTGACACACAGGATTGAAAAAGGCTTAGGTAACTCAATGTTGGTCTGTAGGAAAACTATGTCTTATTTAAGCAAGTCTGCTCTTTAATACTTTAAGGGGGACACTACCCAGAAAAAACAACTTCTGCAAAAAAAAGTTGGTTCTGAAAAATGCAGTATTTGCATCCACCAACATCTGGAGAGTATTCTCCGAAAGTTTCATTAGTTTGCACTGCATAGTTATTTTTTTATAAATTATTATCAGTCCACCAATGCTAAAGAAAAGGTAGAGGATGAAGGACTCGGAAAACATTTCTCTCCATTCCACTTTTTGGCATAAATTTCACTTTAGGAAAACTATTGTTTTGTGATTACGTAACTTGGATTCATTTTTATAAGTTTTTCTGGGGTGAAATTTCAAGAAGATAGCTATAAGCTTGTATTTTTTATTTTTGCAATTTTTCATGCTTAAGAACAAAAATTTTGGACAAAGGATGGAAAGAAGGGGTTTTGTGTACATGTGGTTTTTTTTTTCGTCATGAAAGATGGTAAAATATAAAAATATAGCTCCATAGCTATCTGCCCTGTGTCCTAAAGCAATACAACACATGAAAATGACAAATTTATAAGTGAATTCAAAATTTCAAAATGATAGTTTTTCTACACAGACACGCCCACTTTCATCTTTGAACATTTGCATTTTTTTTTGTACTTCATCCAGGTTAACAAAATTTGGCAGAAATGTTCTCAACATCAACATAAACAAGCCCTGTAAATGTCATTCAAATAAGACAAATGGTTCAAACATTCACTTTTTTGGGTAGTTTCTCAGCTAGATTTAAAGGGACACTGACACCCCCCAAAAAAATTTTTTTATTTTTTGCAAGGCGCTTCATTATGGTGTCGTTATGGTGTCGGAGGACTACCCAATTAATATTTTGCAACAGAGTAGCGTATTTTTTTAATAAAGCCAAAAGACGCAACTCCTCGAAACCGAAACCGAAACCCGACGGAGGTCGGAGAAGTGGAAAGGAGAGAGTTGGTGGCGGAAGTCACGTGGCTACACCAGACCGTGCGTTTTTTTTGTTTTTTTTTCTCCTCTCCGGTAGCAGACGACAGGACATGCGCCGTGCGATGCGGCGTGCGGGAACTGCTCGCCGTGCGATTTTTTTGCAGTTATGTTTGTTCCGCTCGTTGTTCTGTACTCCAAGATGAGTTGTTTTGTACATTGAGGAGTTGGAGATGAGTAGTGAGTGCCCGTGGTGAATTTCCATGATCGGCTCCGAAAAGAATACACCCAAGATGTTGCGTGAAGAGCTGGCTCACATTTCCTGCATCCGAAAAAAAGTGGCATTGTGCGACAGAGTTTCCGAGAGATCAACAGGATCGGGACCAACGGCTGGCTGCAATTCCTGTAGAACATAAACGGGCACCTAGGAAAAGCGGACGTTACCTGATTTATATGCTCCTTGCATTTTGTGGAAAGTGATTACATTGAGCTCGCAGGTGTCAAAACGGAAATCTCATATCATTTAATTCAGCGAAGTATAGTCCACAACATTAGTTTGTTATTTTTTTTGTTTGTTTCTTCAGTGATGATTGTAAAAAGAAATATATATGTAAACATCGGAAAATGTTTGTAAAAAAAAAAAAAGTTTCACGGGGGATCGAACCCGGTCCTACCGCGTGTGAACCGGACGTCTTTCCCACTGAGCTACTGGGGCATCGCTATTCTGGTGGATCTCTCCTTAGAAATAATTCAGCCAGTAAACTGTAAGTTAGAAAGTTTGCTGTCGATTTTTCACTAGCAAAAGCACTCCCGGGTCGAAGTCGGGAAACTCCACACTTTGGGGACATTCGCACCCAGTAAAGAAATCGTACGCGTGCATATTCAACTCGAAGTAGACACGTCGTGCTTGACGTTTGCGCGAGCGAGGTCTTCAGCCACGAGAAGGGAGCGACGACTCGGCGACATCTTCGTGCAAATCGGCTTGGTGGCCGGGCGTGTCGTACGGGATGAATACCAATTCTTTTGATCAGTCCCAAATTTCTCTTTACGGTAGACAGAATTCGCCGGCACCGCGAACGACAGTTCTGAAATAGAGGTCCCACGCCCGTCGTCCGCTGCCATCGCCGTCCACGCGAGTCCCACGATACGCGAAACGACGAACGCACAGAATGTTTCCGGTTGTCTGTGGAACTTTTTTTTTCAATCAACGTATTTACAGCTTTTTAGAAGCCACAAAAAATGGGTTTCATATTTTTTTCTATTTTTAATATTGAGTGTGTGCCGTCAGTGACCCACGACTTTGATTAAATTTGGTGGTCGCATCGATACCTTAGAAAACGGCCCGTGACCGCGAAAAAGAGAGTGAGCGAGACTCAAACCGGCCAGTTCTTGATCGGAGGTTTTCGGGCGGAAAGAAACCGAATTTCGAGCCGCAAATTCTGTTCTGGGTAGTTGAGCTCTCATATGTCACGTACAACTAAAAACCTCAGCGAGCATAAATACCCTGTCAGTGTCCCTTTAATGAGAAATGGACGTCACGTGACCAATACCAATTCAATTCCCTGCAAAATTTAGCGGGGAATTGAATTGGTGTTGAGGTCACTTGACATCAATTTTTCCGCTAAATTTAGCGCGGGTACGCCGATGCCCACACTGTGAAACTCCGGAAATAGGCGCCTAAGAGCTGCGCTCTAAAAGACAAGTCTACCAGTCAGCCACACTTTTGTGCTAAATTAGTGTGAGAGCATGTGAAACTGGTTTTTGAGATTTTTATGTTAAAGAGGTTTAAATCCACCCGGCCCCAGTCGCAGTGTGCCATCGACGGCCAACCAGGGGCTCGAAGACTGTCCGCCTCACCTTGTTCGTCCCTCCCATGCGTTCTGTCTCTGCCTCAATCTCGGCCCGGATGGCGTCAAAGTCGGTGTAAATTTTGTTTTTGGTGTGGAGGAACTTGGCCCACTCTTCCAACTGCATGGTTCCTGCGTGGGAGCAAAACAGCCCTCGTTTATGCCACCTCCAAATGGGGTTCTGAGAGCAGGGGCATGGAATTCATTAGAGCCCTGCAAATCTTTAACATCAACCAAAATTTCTGCACACCAATAAGCTTTTGTCAGATAGCAGACACTCAAGTAGCACAGTTCTTTGGGACAAAATCTGGGTTTTATCTCGGAATTTAAGGCTTTAGAAAGCCCGAAAAAAACCAAGCTTGAGTCAAACTTCCCCTTCTTTGGCCAGAGTCTGGGTGTCTTGGCAATAATATGCCAAAAAAAGTGTTAAAGTTAGGTTTCACTACTGGAAGTTTGGCCGTCATCTGGCATCTTTGGTCCAAAATCATCAAACAAGCACCAGACTTGGGCTTCGCTTTTGTTTGTTCAAATTCAGGTGGTAACTTCGGGCCTCAATCGCAGAAAACAAGTGCTCGATTTAGGCTTCAGGGCTATTTTTTCGGTTCATACGTAAGATCCTTGGCTCAAGCCTGGCACTTTGGCAAGTATGTGGCGAGCCAGAGAAAAGCCACTGAAAGTACTCTGACACTAACTAATGCCTTGGAGCAAAGCCATATTCAGCTTTGCTCCAAGGCATTCGGCTCATGTTAAGCCACTAGGATTGCGCCAAGCTTATGCCGAGTTACGCATTTCTCTGGCGTGCTACCTGGACACTGCAAGCAGAATCCCAGTGCCGCCAAAGATTTTGTCCTTTCGGCGGCTTCGTAGCAATTATTCCATTTAATCAGTAAGGTTAATTCATTTGCATTTTTTAGAGGCGAAGCTCCTTGGGGTCTAGCCTTGTCCGTCCGGCGTCCGTGCTCACATCGATCTTGCTGGTGCTAGTGCTCGTGAGCTCACGTGCTCACGAGCACGTGCTCGTGTAAGACAAAAAAAAAAAGTGTTTACGCAATTGACAGGATTTGAACCTGTGCAGGGAGACCCCAATGGATTTCTAGTCCATCGCCTTAACCACTCGGCCATGACTGCGGGACGAGTAGGGGGCTCTGAGATGTGGTAGTAACTCAAGAGCTGGGGTTTCTGTCATGGATGAAACGTTGCATGTAGCAGCTCAATGTCTATACAGGAGAGGGGGCTGCGGTCAAATGTGTATATAATCGCGTTAAACTTTGCATGCATTGGCTCAACGTTTATAGACGAGAGGGCGCTGCGATCAAATGCTCAAATGCTTATATAACCACGTTCCATACCACACATTCTCTTTCTGACATAGATGAAAACGAACAAAAGGCTCGGCATGCTGCAGCTCAGCGTCTACGCAGACAAACACCACCAGAGCTTCGCCCCAATCAACACCATTCACCACGTGGAGATGCGGTCAATTTTTTTACCATTTTCTTTCTTGAGGCTACGTAAGATGAAACTGCCCCGAGAGGTGCATTTTCATCACTTGCCCAATGAGGATTTATAGATCGGCACTCAACAGTGAGCTCTGTTCGTTGAAATCGATTTGGTTACATAAAACCATCTCCATCTTTTTTTCCATAAGTAATTTCCCAACAAATTCAATGTTTACAACACATTTATTCTATTTATTTTGAAAATACAGCTATCTTTGAGACCAATGCAGGTCGATCAGTATGTGAAAAGAAAGAGAATCAGGTAGTAGAACTAATACTAAGGAAAGCACACAGATTTACACTAATCACCGCATCCATCGATAGACAGTTTCATTCGTCGCCATATTTAACAATGAAAGAGTTCTTGTTAAAGCGATGAGGCATGATGAATTTGTTGTTTTTCATTATAGATGCATTATCACAGTTTGCATTTGCAACATGTCTCTGAATGTCAATCAGACAAATAATTTTGTGAATAATTATGCAGCACATCAGGTGTAGCAGGTTTTATGCTCTTCTAAGAGTATAGAAACTATTGCTGATGTGTAAGCAATGTAAAGAAGTTGCTGGTCACTAAAGGGGGGACAACAAAAGCTTCCTTTCTTCAATTCCATTTTATCGGAAAAGGTGTCAAGGAACAGCTGCTGGAATGTTCTCCGGAATGTCATTTACTGTACATCAGACTAACTCGTCCTGCTCGGAAAACCTGCATTCTTTTTTCATAAAAGAACTCAATTGCTTATTGCAGCTATACCTTTTTATGGAGTATTCGATCTACCTCAAAAGTTTGGGATATGTCCAAATTCCTTCATCCTTGAATATTTTTTTCTGCTTTTTAGGCGATCATGAACCAACTGGCCCAAATAACCATTTTAATGAGGTTTGGGGTACTTAGCATAATTCTACTACACCACTGTTTCCCAAACTGCGGGTCAAGACCCCAAGAGGGATTGCAAAGTTGCTTGGGAACTTAAAAAAATGTCAACTTAGTTTCTCTGCGGTGGCGTCAATGAAAAGAAGGTACAGGTCACGGCACCGCCCCCAGCGGGAACCGAGGGTTGCAATGTCCAAACTCCACACTTATTTTGAGAAGCTGCGTTCTAACAAACAAGCTCATTTCAGTCATTAGGAACAGTCAATCATGCTGGCATGCCCTTTTTTTTTCTTCTTTTTGCGATGGCTTCTAGCCTGCCTTATTCACTCCAATTATACTGACTGCCAAATAAAACTTCAGCACCATGTTTGTGCATTACTTACTGTTCATGCACTGAAATCGAAAAGCTTGTGGCATTGCAAAAGGAGGGGTTTGGGTGGGGTGGGGGTCGCAACACAATTTTATATCTTTGATGGGTCGCAGGTAAACACAGGTGGGGGGGAGCACTGTAGCTACACGCCACACTAGCTAATAAAGTGAGTCCAAGCACTTTCTTGTACAACAGCAAATCTGGAGTTCACATCATGGCTCGTTGCCTCTTCGTTTTTCTCCAAATTGCAAAACATTCACAGCTAAGGATTGAATGGAGTATAGCGTGTGCACGAAATTAGTGCCACACACTGCGTGAACATCTGGAATTTTTTTGCAGAATCTGGCAGGCCCCCGGTGGCCGCCTAGCCCTTTCAAGGAACCGCATAAATCACGTTTTCTCTTTATTTTTTTTTGCAACGTTACCAGACGACATTGTGGTGCATATTACAACAGGAAAACGTCTGGAAGTGTTTACTTTTTCATTTTTCCACAATAAACTCCAGAGTAACCCACCATGTTCTTTGACTGTTTCATTTAAGCTACAATTAGTTCATAGGAAAAAGCTGCTCTTCCCTTGTCATTTGTTTTACAGTGGTGATCTTCTACATCCATATTTTTACTAAATCTTAAAGGGGTACTAAAACACAATTTTCTAACTTTTTCCTGTTTAGCTTTCCTCCTCAACTCATAAATCCCGCATTGTACCAAACAGTTCAAGAAGACGGAAAGGGGGGAGTCCCCTCTTGCTCGGACTCTTGTTTCTGTACCCGGGCACAACCATTGTCCCCCTAGAAGATTAGCCCGCCGCCCAAAATTCAGACAAAAGTTGCTTTCCCCACCCCGTCCACCCCGAAGCTGACAGTGCTGTGGAAGCTGAGTGCTCATTGGGCCAGCCACACTTTTGCCACGTGATGATGCCCTCTCGCGCACACCCACGTGCAGAGAATGAGGTCAGGTGATGAAAGGGAGACGGCTGATTGGTCCGGCACGCGCGTAGCTTCCACTGCAATATCAGCTTAGGGGTGAAGGAAATAAGCATGAGGTCCGGTGTCGTGTGACGTGCGTATGGACCCGGTGACGCGTTTTAGGGACTTCGGATGTATGACAGTGAAAAGGCAGAGAGTTTACGAAGGGAAGGAGGTACGAAATAGTCCGCTGTGTTTTCAAACTTTTGTACCAAAAGTCAGGCGGCTTTTGATTTTTTATCCTTTTTTTCTTTTTGCCCACTGAATGATGCGCTATTAGTAAAATCCCAATCTAAATTGTTTTTTCCCAGCCCAAAATTTGTTTCATAGGACTTTTAATGCACCTTTGTAACTAATTACATCCCAATCTGGTAGAACACCACTTTATGAAGTCTCTTCAAGGGGCCAGACTGCCACCAAGGTTGATGTTGTACGTTCTTCAATATCAGCAAAACGTGTTCCTGTATTTGTGTTTCTAAGTACTTTTTCGTTCATTTTCCTAATGTATTTTTGATGCGCATTGCAATACTTTTATCATAGATGTATTTGAAGTATCAGTATTTAGCTGTATATGTCACGCAACTCGGGCTCCTTGTTTTAAAATAAACACTCACATCTGCAATTATCTATTCAAATTCATCAGAAAAACTCAACTTCAAAGTCACAATGTAAAAAAAAAAAAAAAAAAAAGGGATGCTTTTCTACAAATAAGCAATCGGAGAAAAGGGTCAGTGCTCCTGAGAGGGGACCCCTCCAGTTTCCTTTCAAATACCGGACTATTCACAAAAAGGGATTTACTATTTTTCTTGCTAGATTGTTCAAGATAAGGGACTATTGCACTTCTGGGTCACAACAAAAGTCACTCTTCCGGTTTCTAGTTTGGACCATCTATTTGTGCTTCTTAGAGGAGAGATAGGTTTTGTTTTGATAATGGTGCCGGCTATGAATATATAGATTTAAAAGGAAGCAGCTGAAGCTTTTATATTACTCCTAATTACTCTTTGCTCCACTCCCCCGAGCACAGCTGCAGGGTAAAGTGATGGAAAGGGAAGGGAAAAAAATTAGCTTTCATTTTAAACTATAAACATTAATTGAAGCAACACTTGTTTGCAAGTTTTGTTGTGGGACAGTTGGTATTGCCAACTGCAAGGGTGCGAACGCCAAATATGGCTGAAGAAGTATTGTTTGATGGAAGCGAGCTCTTATGAATTATGGGTATGCCCTTGTCTGGATATTATTTTTGTTTTGAATTTTGATAAAGTGGGAACAGCAAAAATTAGACTCTGAAGCTTAGGGAACTGAGAATACAACAAAACTAAAACTATGAAAAGATAAAGGAACACACAGGGCCAGCCTTACATCATCAAACACCCTGGGCACTTTGGCCATGTGCCCCCTCCCGCCCCCCTTTTTTTTATATGCCCCTATCTACTAGGTACGACATCACGTTATTAGTAAACATGTGAGTAGTGACCAAACACGAGCGTTACGCAAGACGAGGACTGCATACCAAAATCTAACGGCGATCAAGCATAGCGTCGGGTCAGGCGCAGCATTCAAATAAATCAAAAAGGTGAAAAAAAAAATTCAAGAGGGATACAGCAGCACCCCTTTGAATGGCATCCTGGGAGACTGCCCTGGTCGCCCACCCCTAGGGCAGTCCCTGGGAACAGATGTCACCGTATTTACATTTCCATGTATTTTAGGGCATTTCTGCCCAACCTTGATATGCATTGGCACAGCAAAACATGTTGACTGAGTACCACACTTTCCCGGTCTATAGTTTGCACCCGGTGGATAGTTTACAGGGGCATTGCAAATTTCATTAAAAGAACAGCTTTTCCCTTACATAGTACACATCCACCGCATAGTGAGCACCCGATGCCTAGTCTGCACATAAATAAGAATTATACACAGCACTGCTCGAATAATGCCTATTTTATCAGCTCATAAGTGAGCACAATACATAAATCATCATAAACATACTCTGTCAGTCACAAAATCTACATATCATTGTAACAACCAATCCAGAAAAAAAAAAAAAAAAAGTCCCCGTATAGTCTACACCTGCAGACAGTCGAAACTGCGGAAATTTCAGCTTTTAAGAGTGTATAGTCTATGGACAATCGCCTGAAAAATGTGGTATTTTCGTCATGCTCACGCCCAGTCGCTCACAGCTCCATCCATATGCGTGCCTCTGACCGCCCATTCACACTGGAAGTGGATCCATGTTCGCAAAGCGGTTGCGAACGCGGTTGTATAAAGATCCAGTACAATTGCATGCGCACTTGATGTCATCGAGTGCGCGTGCAATTACACTGGATCTTTACACAACCGCGTTCGCAACCACTTTGCGAACGCGGATCCGCTTCCAGTGTGGATGAGCGGTTAGTGCTTGGGATCACTCCCAAGAAATTCTCAGGCATAGATCCAGGAAGAGCTTTCGAGGAGACAGGCAGCATGTTTTGTGCACAGCTGAAGGCAACTCTTGTCCCCAAAGTAGTATGCAACTGTGGCGATTGCGTGCAACCCTGCAAAATAGGCGCATGCAGGTACGAAGGGGTCCATATCACATGAGCGAATGACATTTTAGCGAACAGCGACGTTTGAGCGAATTAACGTTTTAGCGAATAACGGGGGCGCGCGTTAACCCATCCGCCGCGCTGCGCTTTACGCCGCTTCGCGGCGACAGTCTGCGGCAACTCATTACAAAAATGTGAACCCATTCGGCCCACCCGAAAACGCCGCTTGGCGGCGTCCGACTATTCGCTAAAGTGTCATTCGGTGAAACGTGGGCTTTCGCTAAAATGTCATTCGATCAAGTGAGTGCCTCCCGGTACGAAGTTGCACCCACCTTCATCGGCAGAGCGGTGCTGAACGTCGTCCTTGGAGACATAGACCAGCTGAAGCACGAGCGGGCGCCTCGTCACGATGCCCGAACCCCGAGGCAGGAAGTCCCGCCCCACGAGGCTTTCCAGTACTGAACTTTTGCCCGAACTCTGCGACGACCAAAAGAGCGTTCACGCGAAAACATCAGCGTCTCTATGTCGCGAACCAATGTTGGAGACTGTTCGCCATCCTGACTTTGATATGACCCCTAAACAAAGTTCAAAAGAGAAAAAAAAAAAAAAAATCGATCGTTTATTCTGCGGTTGAGGTAGCAGTTAGCGAACATCAATGAATGGCGCGATCGCTAGAGCGGGGGTGAAATGTTCAACAGGCTGGAAAAGTATCGAATCGACAAAAATGCGTGTCTCATTTCGTGTAACGGAAGTGATTTGAAAAACAACCGCGAGACTTCTGAGTGCAAGAAGTTGGTCAGGTGGTTCGAGGTACATTGGTGAACCTGCTACTGCGGAGCGATGCACCAAAATCTCGAGTGTGAGCGACAAAAAAACATGCAAACTTGGCGCTATGCAAACGTCGTAGCAACGAATTTGGTGAGATACACGTGAGATTATGTACTGTATACACGAGTCGAGACCAAAATGTTGCATATCTCGGCGGCGATTGCACACCGCCCTTATTATCGTTTTCTAACTGTTTTGCGGAGCGCAGAAGCTGAGGCTATCGTCCGGCTGCGCTAAAGGGGTGACGAAAGGCGAACAACAAAGCGCTGGATAAGGAAGGAAGAGAGCCAAGATATTCAAACCTGGGCCCCGACGACCACAATTTGAGGCAGTTGGAGGGCATCGGCTCCGATGGTGTTGAAGACGTCCTGCAGCTTGTTGATGACGGGTATTAACGCCTCCATAGCGACTAGTCAACACGCCGTGCGATTGGTGAAGTTGAAGAGCGTTAAATGAATTAAGAAAAGACTCGCAAAAGCCCCCCAGCTAACCCCCTCACCATGACCATGACTGCTTTGCCCTCGCAGAGAAGAAAACGGAGGCAAGGGAAGCCGTGAGCCATCGGCAACAACTGCCGGAATCAAAAACAACAAAAATTATTTTCGAAGCTGGCTTCGCTTGGCTAGCTTTCGGCTCAGACAAATCCAGAAACTCTGTACGCAAACAACGAAACCGAAACTGCCGGCTTCAATCAAGAAATTTTGTTGTGTTCGTCCAATTTTTTTTTTATCGTTTTCTATTTTAGGGTTTACAAGATGTCGAAAATGTAACCTTTGTTTTCGGCCTGTATTAATACACTGCGCATCGCATAAAACTGAAATTGTGAGAATGGAATGGTAGCAGTGGTGACAAAATGTGAAATTTTATGGAGATAACGTTATATGAATCAAAGGTACAAAAGAAAAACCCAATTACTTTGTGAGAAAAAAAAAGTGGTGACCTGACTCGACGGGCGACAAGTTTCCCAGCTGTAGATAGAAATTTAGCTAGTGCCGTACAACCGCTGGTAGGGAAACGAAATTCCAGCGCTCATTTTCTAGCTTGAATGCGTCGCATGTTGCACCCTAACCTCAAAAACACCAGTCTTCCAATTAAAGGCACAAGAAAACTAATTTTAAACTTAAATAAACGATCTTTCAATGTGCACCTGGTGGATGCATGCGGAGCCTATTTGGGATGTAATTTAAGAACGTTGGGGAACTTGCTACGTAGTCGTGACGTAGCAGATTCCTTCCGAGCAGCGCCGCCCTTCGGAATTTAAACATTTTCCTTCTTAGCTTTCCTCCTAGCTCAACTCACAAATCGCGCATTGTACCAAACGGTCCAAGAAGACAGAAAGGAAGGACTCCCCACTCTCTCCGACCCTCGCTCGTGCAACCGGAAACAGCCATTCTCTCCCTAGAAGATTAGCCCGTCGCTCAAAACTGGAACAAAAGTTGCTTTCCCCACCCCGTTCAACCCTAAGCTGACAGTGTTGTGGAAGCTACGTGCTCCTTGGGCCAGCCACACGCTCGTCACCCCACGGGTACTTCGAGCGGCTCGGTTGTAACGCGATGCGTTTCCCCCTTTCGCTAAGCCCTCCGCGACCCGCTACGATAGCCGGAACTCTACATTCAAAGCCATGGGCGCGCAGGCGCAGTAGCGGCTTCTTCGTTGCGAAAGGCTTAGCGGAGGGAGAAACGCTGTCTACGAAAACTCCCTATGGACCTTTTCCGAGAAGCGTTCTGCGCACGCGCGAGCGCCTGATGCTAAGCGGTGGAAGTCGGAACGAAAAATCGAGGAAATTCGGAATGAGGCTGTAGATCGACGAGTAGAACACGTAATTGCAGCATGTATATAATTGTGTTACACAAAAAAAGAAAGTGGACGGAAAGAAAAACACGACGTTTGGGTGGACGCTACGGATTTTCCTCTTTAAAGTCGCGTTGGGCACGCGACGCAGCTCAGAGGGCGAAGCAACTGGTAGCGTAGCTCCCATTATCGATTGGTAGCGCAGGTAGGTCACTTCCTCGATTTTTAGTTCGTGGAGCCACCGCCTGGTGCCGTCGGTATTTGGAAAAGGTCCATTGACACCACAACGCTGACAACGCCACCAAGGGCAAAGCTCATAACCACGGCAGCCTTGCTACGTCACGAATGCGGGGAACCTTTTCTTTCTGTTTCTGTTTTCACCGGATATCCCATGACGCATCGCGCTCTCCGTTTGCTTCTCTTCGAGCGCTTGCTCGAGTGCACCGTTTGGAACGAAATACAAACGTGCGATTATCATCTACGGTTATTATCCGTCATGCTTGACTCATTTCCGAACGAAATTTGAATATTTCAATTTTGTTTCCGTACCCTTTTAACGTACATCACGCAGTAGTCATCCACGACCGCACGCCGCCGGCGCCGGTACGATGCTCATGATCAAAACAGGCGGGGGCGGATATGTCACTAGGGGCGGGAATTGAACTCTGGATCTTGGGATTTGCTGCGCGACCTTTCGCTCCACGTGCTCCGAGATGGTGTGCACTAGAGTGTGCACTAGCCCACTCGGCCACCGATCCCCCTTTTCTTTGTGAACCGACGTTCACCTAAGCCTAATATTCATCAAACTAAATTACAGATAGCGCTAAGACAAGGACAGGCGAAGAAGTGGACAAGGGCAGGCGCTAATTCGCAGCTGACACTTTTCTACACGGTGATACAAGGAGACGCCAGGCTCTTTAAAGGGACACTGACAGGGTATTTATGCTCGCCGAGGTTTTTAGTTGTACGTGACATATGAGAGCTCAACTACACAGAACAGAATTTGCGGCTTGAAATTCGGTTTCTTTCCGCCCGAAAACCGCCGATCAAGAACTGGCCGGTTCGAGTCTCGCTCACTCTCTTTTCCGCGGTCACGGGCCGTTTTCTAAGGTATCGATGCGACCACCAAATTTAATCAAAGTCGTGGGTCACTGAAGGCACACACTCAATATTAAAAATAGAAAAAAATATGTAACCCATTTTTTGTGGCTCCTAAAAAGCTGCAAATACGTTGATTGAAAAGAAAGTTCCACAGACAACCGGAAGCATTCTGTACGTGCGTCGTTTCGCGTATCGTGGGACTCGCAGGGACGGCGGTGGCAGCGGACGACGGGCCTGGGACCTCTATTTCAGAACTGTCGTTCGCGGCACCGGCGAATTTTGTCTGCCTTTAAAAAAGAAATTTGGGACTGGTCAAAAGAATTGGTATTCATCCCGTACGACACGCCCGACCACCAAGCCGATTTGCACGAAGACGTCGCCAAGCCGTCGCTCCCTTCTTGTGGCTGAAGACATCGCTCGCGCAAACGTCAAGCGCGACGTGTCTACTTCGAGTTGAATATGCACGCGTACGATTTCTTTACTAGGTGAGAATGTCGCCAATGCGTGGTGCATCCCGACTTCGACCCGGGAGTGCTTCTGCTAGAGGAAAATCGGCAGCAAACTTTCCAACTTACAGTTTATCGGCTGAATTGTTACTAAGGAAAGAGATCAGCCAGTTTCGATGCGCCCCAGTAGCTCAGTGGGAAAGACGTCAGCTTCACACGCGGTAGGACCGAATTCGATCCCCCGTGAAACCCTTTTCTTTTTTTTTTTTTTTCAAATATTTTTTGATGTCTACATTTCTTTTCTTTTTTTTACAATTATTACTGAAGAAACAAAAAAAAATAATAAGAAGAAACAAATGTTGTGGACGGCACGTCGCTGAATTAAATGGTATGGGATTTCCTTTTTGACACCCGCGAACTCAATGTAATCACTTTCCACAAAATGCAAGGAGCATATAAATCAGGTAGCGTCCGCTTTCCGAGGTGCCCGTATATGTTCTACAGGAATTGCAGCCAGCCATTGGTTCCGATCCCGTTGATCTTTCGGAAACTCTGTCGCACAATGCCACTTCTGTTTCGGACGCAGGACATGTGAGCCAGCTCTTCGCGCAACATCTTGGGTGTATTCTTCTCGGAGCCGATCAAAATTCTCCACGGGCACTCACTACTCATCTCCAACTCCTCAATGTACAAAACGACTCATCTTGGAGTACAGAGCAACGAGCGGAACATACATAACTGCAAAAGAATCCCACAGCGAACAGTTCCCGTACGCCGCACGTCGTCTGCTACGGGAAGAAGGAAAAAAAACAAAAAAAAAAAACACGGTCGGGTGTAACCACGTGACTTCCGCCACTCACTCTCTTCTCTCCACTTCTCCGACCTCCGTCGGGTTTCGGTTTCGGTTTCGAGCAGTTGCGTCTTTTGGCTTTATTAAAAAAAAATACGCTACTCTGTTGCAAAATATTAATTGGGTAGTCCTCCGACACCATAATAAAGCACCTGGCAAAAAATTAAAAAAAAAAAATTTTGGGGGGTGTCAGTGTCCCTTTAAATCGACCGGAAAGTTCGGTTTCTTAAACTATCGCGCTACGCCTTCGTGCAGCGTAACCCGCAAATGGTGCTTTTTTTTTTTTTTTTTCTCTTTTTTTTTGTAAAATTTGCAAAGAGCGAAGTTACCCGAGGGAAAAGTAAAGAAAGAAAAAGGCTTAGCTCATAGGGAAACGCAGCGAAGCCACCGGTCTGCAAACAACACGGCGCCGTTTCGCACGGGAGACAAGAGATGGCGCAAGCGGTCGCGAAGCCAACTGCCGCCAACGAACGAGCAGACGACGCCGAGAGCCGGCGTATTTAGCAGACAAGCAACTGCAGTTCCTTGTTACCGCGCCTGTTTTAGTTTCTGCGACTGTCGCCGCCTGCGGAACGCGCGCCGCTTTTGAGTCCAAGCGATCGTCTGCTAAAGACGCTGGCTCTCGGCACCATATGCTTGTTCGTTGGCGGCGTTCGTTGCGCCATCTTGTCTCCCGTGCGAAACGGCGCCGTGTTGTTTGCAGACCGGCGGCTTCACTGCGTTTCCATAGGAGCTAAGCCTTTTTCTTTGTTTACTTTTTCCTCGGGTAAGTTCGCTATTTGCAAATTTTACAAAAAAAAAAAAAAAAATGCACCATCTGTGGGCAACGCTGCACAAAGTCGTAGCGCGATTGGTTAAGAAACCGAATTTTCCGGCCGATTTAAAGAGCCTGGCGTCTCCTTGTATCCCCCTGTATACAACGACAAATTGTTGTTGTTTTGTTCGTTGCAACCACTGATCTCAATGAGAATTGCTGGATTGCGCATCCCCACTCCGGGAGTGGGGCCATCGGAAGGCCATCTTGCATGGTAAATTTTTTCGTTTTGCTAACGTTTTTCTGCGGTTTTCCAGAGTGCTGTAGACACGTTTCGTACTCGTTCGTCGTCATACTTGCCGTTAAAAACACGTGCACATTTTTACGAAAGCGCTGTGCCGCAGGAAAAAGGCACAACTCGTCGAAAGCAAGTTTCGACGGTCTGGCGGCGTGTTCAAAGCTTTCTCGGCACTCCGAAGTGCTGTGTCTCTGTGCCTTCGCACGCTTGGATACCGTTCACAAATCGACGCCGTGTGAATGTGTTTTGCGAATGCAATGTGCGTGAAGCCGTACCTATCTGAATGTACAACTCGTCGAAAGCAAGTGTCGCCGGTCTCGCGGCGTGATCAAAGCTTCTTTGGCACGCCGAGTGCT